ACGCCGCTGCAGACCAACTCGGCTTTTGTGGTGGCAAAGTTTGGAAACACTAAACCGGGACAGTCGCAAAGGATCACGCGGTCTGAAAGGTGGATGGTCTGGAAGTGTTTTGTCTTGCCAGGAGTGGAGGAGACTGACACCTTTTTCGAGCCGAGGAGAGCATTGATGGTGGAGGACTTTCCGACGTTTGGATATCCAACCAACCCAATCGTAGTTTTTCGGTCAGTAGTGGCATCTTCGGGGATGTTCTCGAGGAAGAGGGATTCGAGCTCGTCGACAGTGAGGATCTGAGTGTCAGGTTGTGCAGACGCTTGACCTCTGGACTGTGAGCCAACCTCGCCATCCTCAGGTTGCGACTCTTCACTTTCAGAGTCTTCATCCGCCTCCTCTTCGTCAGTCCATTCTTCCCCCTCTTCCTCCTTCAGGTTGAGATCTTGAACATTCTTGACCATTGTCTTTTCCGGCGAGTTGCGATCAATCTGTTGCTGGATCTGCCGGGCATCGAGCTCCTCTAGCGCATCTCGTCCCTCGTTCATCTCTTTGGCCAGATGAGCAGAGAAGAACTTGTAGTTGATACCTTGCTCGTGGAAATACTCGGCCCATGCTCTTCTTTGCTCTTCAGTCATCATGTCTGCCTTGTTGACCAGCAACAAGTTCCTCTTCTTCGGATCGACCTCTTGGACATATTTCTCCAGGTCTTCACTTCGGAATAGAAGTGGGTTCCGTGCATCCACAATCTGCACCACTAAATCGGATCGCTCGATCACACGCCACAGTTGTCGCCATACTTCAATGTTCCTCTCGAACGGAGTCATCAGCAAGTCGTCGTTCTCTTGAAGTTCGGCAAGGCCCCGTCTCCATTCCAGCAGGCTTGCTCTCTCCTGTTCGTCCAACTGCTGGGGCGTGGTTGTCTCGTCCCATTTCGGCCTCCTAGGTACTGTCAACCTTCCCCTGTTCTGAGCATGTTTCCTCCTCGCACCCCTCTCCTCCGCTGCGCTCAAAAGGTATGGATTTCGTTGGTCCGAGTGGATTATCTTGACATTGTTCATCTTCTCCGCAGTAAAGTCGGTGCCAGCCAATTCGGCCGTGGAAAGGAATTCGTCCAGGGCGCCTTGTTCGGTGACGCTGCGCATCTTGACCCACGATGCTTCCTTTGCGGCATTCGTTACGTATGTTTGGCCTGTTGTGTGATCCGTCCTAACGACTCCATTTTGAGACACCTTCTTGCGATCTGAACCTTTGCCTCGTCCGAAACGGTCGTTCATGAGGCTGTTGCCCAGCCCCACGCTGTTCTTGCTCTTTGGGAGAACCATTTTGCCAACAAGAGGTTTCCTTCAAAGAACGGAGGGAGAGATTGGGTAGGATGTTGCGAATGAAAGTGAGGTCGCGAGACCTCGTGTAGTTGGAGGGGTGGTGAATGGAAAATTGAATGGACGCAGAGGGACGTCATATGTACGAGGTACAGTAATGAATGGATGCGCTGGCTGTGGCCAAAATTTCTAAGAAAATTAAATTTCCGCAGGCACTCGCTCACCCACCCCACCAAAGTCGACCGACACAGACATCACACTCGCTTACCAATTCGTGTCCTGGGATAGCAAAACAAAGATGCCTCGAAAGCGCTGGATGTAGGAGTCGTATCCTTCCTTGTGATAGACATGGAGACTGACAAAAGCACAGCGACAAGAACAACGCACAAACCTTTCAATTACTCTACCGCCCACAAACCGACCCAGCCCTACACAATGAAGCCGCTGGCGAGCGGGCACTGTACCAGGTCTCTGGGCCTGGCGCTTCATCTTCCTACAAGCCTGAGTTCAAGGAAGGACTACACTTGACCGATCTGGAAAATGACCTGGACTTTGAGGACATGCGGGAAAATGAGGGCGAGGCTGCACAGTACGGAATCTACTATGATGACACCAGTTATGACTACATGCAGCACTTGCGAGATATCGGGGAAGGGGAAGGGGACTCACATTTTGTGGAGTCGGTGCCTGTGAGAATCCAGGGCAAGGGCAAAGGCAAAGCGAAGTCGATGAAACTGGAAGATGCACTGCGAGAGTTGTCGGTCGACGACGGTCAAAGTGTGGCAGGGAGTGATATGTATTCAACATTCTCAACGTCGACGAGGCCAAGGACGTACCAGAACCAGCAGGATGTCCCGGACGAGATTGCGGGGTTTCAACCCGACATGGACCCGAGACTGAGGGAGGTGTTGGAGGCATTGGACGACGATGCTTATGTGGATGACAAGGACGAGGAAGATATCTTTGCTGCCCTTGCGAAAGATGGTCGCAATGGGGAGCTTGAATTGGAGGAATTCGAGGCCAACTATCCCGAGGACGATGATGAGGGTTGGGAGTCAGATGTCACCGAAAAGGCACCAGAGCAGCCGTCTGAATTGAGATTAACACCAACGGTTCAGGTGTCAGAAGACGGACACCGTGTGAATGAGTTGCCCGCTCCGGATGCAGAGGCGGCTGCAGCAGAAGACGGAGACTGGTTGCGAGATTTTGCCAAATTCAAACGGGATAATGCACGAAAAGCGCCGCTCAAGGCCGCCGAATCAATCATTGCTGCCTCCGCCATCCAGGACAGAGCACCGTCCTTATATACCCTGAACGGGACTCCTCTACGGCAGAAGAAGCGCAAAGGTGCTTTGACCAACCCCAGCGCCTATTCCATGACGTCTTCCTCTCTCGCGCGGACCTCTGGCCAGCAATTGCTCGACGCCCGATTTGACCAGGTGGAAAAGATGTATTCGCTGGAGGAGGGCGACGAGTTCGATGACATGGATGGTGGAATGTCGTTGGCCTCGGGGATGACCGGCCGGTCCAAAATGTCACAGCTGTCCACCACCAGCTTTGCAGATGAAGGCGCTGTGCGAGAGGATTTCGACAGCATGATGGATGGCTTCCTTGGTGATTGGAACAAAGCAAACCCCGGCGGAGGGAAACGAAAGGGTGCCAAAGGCAAACGTGGGAAGAACGGGAATGAAAAGTACGGCCTCCAACAGCTGGACGAAGTCCGGGCAGAACTGGGGCCTGCAAGGATATACCAACGGACAACGAGGGCATGAAAGATAAACAAATGGCGCTGGAAATGGCTTTTAATGTGGCGCATCATCAGAGATACCCCGTCTTCCAACGATAGACAAACGTTTTCTTCTTATTGGATAACCCGCAAACTCCTCATGGATGCATCTGTACAGCGACTCGAAGGTGTAGTAGCATCAGCCGGGCTTATGTGTCTGATTTAAATTCTGCCCATTCTCAAATGCCTCAACCCGCCGACTGGGTTGAACCCTCTCGGGGTTTTGCAACGGGATCCCATGCACTGTACTTCGGTTTGGTCCTGTATCTCAAGTCAATTGACAGTCTCAACTGGGGTAATCTGGCAGGTTTTCGCGCACGTAGAATATGGACGATAAGCTCCTCTGCTCTGAGTCAAGTTAATCTTGGGCTCCTTGCTCTCCCATGGCCGCAATCCAATCTGCATGATCTTGTCTTCGACGGGTGGCTTATCCACCAAGTAGCTCATCCAGGCATGCCAGCCCGGGTCGATCTGGCTTGCATCAAGCTCGCTGTCCTTGTAGTCGACCTGCAAGCTCTTTAGTCTTTGACGGCACAACCACCTTCACAGCTCCATACCCATCGTGTCCGCAAGGGAAGCTCTTCCACCAAGTTCTCGTAGTATTTGTTGCCATATCTATCCATTCCAATGAACGTTCCAGCTTTTGTGTCGCCCTAAACCCCAGTCAGAACCCACCATCGAGATGTTTTTGCAATGACCATGACGTACGATGTAGTGCAACTGGTGGCCATAGTCGCGGAGGCCGACCCGCCAGAGGTTGCGGAGGGTACGGGTGATGGTGGACATGATGGACTGTCCAAAAGGGTCGAGAGGGTGGCGGCGGCCGAAGGACGTGGAGGTGTGGTTGATGTCGCCGTCGAGGTCAGGGAAGATGGTCAGTGATTACTCGTATTTTGCTCTTGTGTTTGAACGGAAGGTGGCTCGCAGCTCATTGGCTTCGGAGGATCGCAGGTTTGGAGGAAGCGAGGTCGTGCAGGGTTGGTCAATCCAGACACCAACGCACCCAAAGGTCGGTTTCCAGGGCTCAAGCTCCGATCTTGGCGGGAAAATGCTGGTGGATTTGGCGCCCGAGGATGGCGTTTCTGGCCTTTTGATTCTGAATCTGGGTGGAGGTGGAAGTGGATGTGGGTGCGGGCATGGGCGAATATTACTCGTATTCCTCCATGACTGCCCCCATCCAAGGCGCCTTTTTGTCGCCCTTGTCGCACACCTTGTTGCCCACGTCGCCCTGTGTCGTACAGATCGCATCGCCTCGCCTAGCCTTTGTCCCGCGGGGCAAAAAAAAGAAGGGCACCTTGGACGAACCCAGCCAGACCTGCTGAGCTGAGATTTCTTTACTCATAAAAACCCCTCGGGACAGGCACAGAAAGAAAAGAGGCACTTATGATACAACTCCTAGCGTCCTGTGACGTCCCTATGCCCGCAAGATGCGATCTTACCGCCGCCCATAGCCCCCAGGCATCTGTCATAAACTGACCCTACATGATCTGCATCAAGTCCACCCGACAAGACGAGGACAGATAAACGCCCGGCTGTCCCAATTCGGCCACGAATCTTTGTCGATGCCCCGGAGATGACAACAATATTCTCCCCGTATCGTGTCTAGCAACCATCGACAAATCAATCGCACCGCAGTCCAACGCCGTCGCCATGGCCAGTGGCATCAACCGATTCCTCTCCAAACGCGAAGGAAAGCGCAATCGGGGTCGCGGTGACCAAGACCAACAACACCATCACCACCACTTGCCTCACCATTCTCATCCTCTAGCCAGGAAGCCCTTCTCGACCGTGAGTTCTATTGTTTCTGCTCCTGCAGATGTGGCCCCGACAGATGTTCTCATTCTCCTGCGCCATCTCCCACCGCTAGCACTCATGTCGAATGTGCAACGTTTCTGCTTGTCAATATGTACTCCCGCCCGGGAGAGGGATTCCTCTTCTGTATTTCGTGGCTCCGTCCGTCGCCCAACCCCGTACTGACTGGTATCTCTTCACAGTCCAGCCCGGAACTTGCCCTCAAGGCGAGTGATCCAAACTCAGCTGCTGACTTCTATGGCCTCTTTGACGCCCTCGGCCCCCCTGCGACTCCGGCCGAGGAGCCCAAGGTAAGATGGCCCGGTTCCGGTTTGACCAAAATTCGCTAAATATGCTGGATTAGATCAAGACGTTGCGCCTTCGAATCCTCGACTCCAAAGGGGTGCTTCTAAGGGACACCCAGATCCTGTGGGCTCTTCGCTCCGTCGGTGTCAGTGGAGATGTCGATGCTGCATATGGACTCCTGCTTGCCATGTCAGATGCCTCGGAGGGCATTGTCACGCAGTACGATCCAAGAACGAAGCTCCTGGGTGCACAGAACCGACAGGGAGTGACGTGTTTTCTCGATTCAACACTGTTTTCCATGTTCTCTCGGCTGGACAGTTTTGAAGCCATGCTCTATAACTCCTTCGACGACGTAGCACGCAACAAGCTCGCATTCCTTTTGCGCCTCTGGGTTAACCTCCTGCGCTCCGGAAAGTTAATCACGACCGACATTACAAAAGTAATACAGGATTCTTTGGCAGAATGCGGGTGGCCGGAGGCTGGAGAGCTGCACCAGCAAGATGCGTCGGAAGCCTTTTCCTTCATCACGGGCAAACTCGAACTGCCCCTGATGACCCTGAAGATGGACATTTACCATACTGGTAAGGAAGACAGCAACGATGACCACAAATTCATCAACGAAAGACTTCTCGAGGTGGCTATCCCTCCGGACACAACGAGCGACAGATCAGTAATCACTCTTGAAGAATGTCTCGAGGAATATTTCAACAACCGAATCGAGGTCCGCAGGTACCTAGAGCGACGGTCAACAATAAGTTCCATGCGCAAAGGGAGTGCCGTCCACGTCGAGACTATCGAGCTGGATGGTGACCAATCACCGATTACTCCCCTCTCCCCTTCTCCGAGCTACGCATCCCCCGTCAGACCAGGAGCAAACCGTGCTCGCGCGCCCAGTATTATCCAAGAGCGTTACATACCACCACGAAATGAAAGTGGATATTCATCGCTGGCCCCTATTGACACAAAGGACTCTGCACCCATGTCGCGTGTCGGAAGTGTGCGGAAAGAGGTTATGATGCCCGCGTGGCAATTCTTCAGCCTAATTCGTAAGTCTGACTCCCATGACTTGATGCGCCTTTGACTGAGAATGTTTCAGCCTGGTATACCGACAACGCACCTATGAACGACGCCCAAGTTGCTGCTCACTTCTCATCCAAACGGCCGGTCCTCGGGCTCTGCCTCAAGAGATACTCTTTCACGGCCAACGGCAAAGCAATTCGGCTTGATACGAAGGTGGATATCCCAGTGGAGATAGGGGTGCCTCATTTCATCCAGGATGATCGAATGGAAGAGACCGGGGGCCTTCACGGCAACTTCAAGCTCTCCTTACAGTCTGTCGTCTGCCACCGAGGCAATTCCGTCGATTCCGGGCATTATATTGCTCTTGTGCGAGGCACTGCTCCACCATGGTCTTCCGACGGGCAGCTCCCAGAGACAGCCAAGACTTGGATGAGATTCGACGATCTTGCTCCACAGCGCATCACTGTTGTCGACATCGAGAAAGCCCTCCGAGAAGAAACCCCCTACCTGCTCTTCTACCAGATCCTTCCCATTGAGGGAGACCCGGGGAGTATCGCGGTAGGAGAGGAGCCGCTGGCCTCGGTGTCGGAACGCAATGCATCGGTCAGTGAAGTTTCGAGTGAGTCTGCTTTGACAGACAACCAAATCCCGTCGGGCCGGCCCAGCTTTGATATCACTCACCTAGAAGAACTTAGAGGGCGGTCGCCGACAGAGACCAGGAGGACGAGTGTCATTTCGTTCCAGGAACCGCCTTCGGACCACGCAAATGGAGCGTCCCTGGCTGTGCCAAACAGCGGAGATCCATCTAGCACGCCGCGGCCTAAGTCGCTGTCCCGAACGCAGAGTAAAGCCAGTGAGAGTGGTAGTTTGAGTCGAACGCTGTCCAAGTTCAAAAGGAAAAGTCGAGAAATCTTACCACTGGACAATCAAAACGTGGCCGAGGTCCATGTTAAGGAAGTCTCTGAGCGGAGCACGCCAGTTACGCAAGACGGCGAAACCCAAGGACTGCATACAACGTTGCCGAATGCACCAAAACAAAGTTCTCTTCAAATCCAAAACCAGCCATCTAGAACACATAGAAGCGAAAAGAGCCGCAGTCGGATTTCAAGAAGTAAGATGCGAGGTGAGAAGCCGGATAGAGAGTGTGTTGTTATGTGATATTGGGCGGCAGCTCGCCTTCTGTTACGCGAGGCATTGTTTCTGTTTTTCATGCTTTGCACATCGGGGACTGGCGGACGGAACCCTCGTGGCAATGAGCTGTCGATGACGACTTTCGATTGGCAATGATGACGATGACGATGACGATGAAGGCGTGTTCTCTTATTCACCCGGCCATGTCTTCTCTACAGTTATGGGAGGCAAACGGCAAAGGGAACAGGCCACGACCAATATCGCCAAGTTGGGCGAACAGATAGAACACAGAGAAGAATTGTTCAATGCTTATGAAGACTTCCCCGCAGTTCTCCCTCAAGCTTAGCTGTCGACACTGTTCCAACTGTGCGTAGACGAGGCGATATATGCTTGTCGTCGTCGGCCTTGAGGACCTTGTGACTCGAGTCGACGAGGCTGACAGAGTGTGCGATTACCCGAAACAGACTAGCGCGGTTATCTTTAAGTCAACCACAATCAGCACCTGATCAGCACTATCAGCATCGGTTATGGAGGAAGAAACCAACATCATTCTCGCTCGGGAAGAAGGTTCCCTCTCTAGGTCCTTTCTTACTCTTGACATGACGGAAATTACCAGATGTTTTAGGCATGTGGGCTTTTGCTTCGGAGTGAGGAGATCCTTTACAGCGCCAATGCTCTGGTAACGCCATCGACTGGATCGAATCTTGAGAAATGCGGGGGTTTTTTTCTTCCCTCCGCCCCCTTGGGATCCTGTTTCCCCCTCTTTGCCGGCGTGGGATTTACCAATGATGTTCCAACCCGATGTTCAGCATCCGACCAGTCTGGTGCCCTCTTCGTATTTACTTTGAAGCCAGTGTTGATTTTGGCTGCGACCATTCGGCGCTGCGGATCCGGTCTCTGGCCGAGGGTCTGTGCAGCAGAAGACGGCACTCGCCCCTCCTTTTACAAATTGTGAGAGGGAAAAGAAAAGATGTATATATAGAGAGAGAGCCCCAGGTCGATTGAAGGCATGACTGGGTGCACAAATTCGAACCTAAACCCACCTTGCTTTGTTCACTGATTAAGAGCTTTTTTTTCCCCTACCCCTCTGCATTTCCTTTTGACGCAACAACTCCACCATGGCAAAGATAGCTGCGGAAGCAGTGCCCCAGCTCAAGGCCCAGATCGATGCTTTGACCTCTGACCCCGACGGTGCCCCTGGGGTGGTCTTCGCCGCCGTCAACAAACAAGGCGAAATCATATTCGAACATGCAAGCGGAAAAGTGGGCCATGGAAAGTCCCAGCCCATGACCATGAACAATGTGTTCTGGATCGCCAGTTGTACCAAGATGATTACGGGGATTGCGTGTATGCAGCTTGTCGAGCAAGGCAAGTTGGCGTTGGACGATGTAGAGCTGGTGGAAAAGCTGTGTCCGGTACGTCTTGAATTTCCGGGTTGCCATTTTGTCAGAGGGATTGGAGGTGGTTGATCACGTAGCGACGCGGAAGCTGACACTCGATCGACGTTTCACAGGAGTTGAAAGCTGTGCAAGTGTATGAGAACGGCAAGTTGGTGCCCAAGAAGAGAGGCATCACCTTGAGAATGCTGCTCTCCCACACGGGTAAGCTGTCTCTTATCCCTTTTCTACCTCTCCTTCTATCTCCCTACTAATATTTCTCTACGTCAGCCGGCTTCGGGTACTCGTTCTTTGACCAGCGCCTCAATGATTGGGCTGGGCCCCTTGGATTGGATGAATTCTCCGGGTCCTACCACGACTATCTGACCCAACCCCTCGTAAACCAACCGGGAGAAGTGTGGGAGTATGGAATCAACATCGACTGGGCGGGACAACTTGTGGAACGGGCGTCTGGTCTCAAACTCAACGACTACTTCCAACAGCACATCTTCAAGCCCATGGGCATCACCCACATCACGTTCTTCCCCGACGAGCAAATGAAAGCCGACCTCGCGTGGATGAACTACCGAGCCCCGGACGGGAAACTCTCCCTGTACGTCAACGGTCATTTGAATAGAAGGCCACTTTATGCGAAGACCAAGGAGGAGATCGACGGGACCTTCCACGCCGGGGGAGCGGGCGCGTTCGCGAAGCCGACCGAGTATTGTCAGGTTATTTCCATGCTGTTGAACGATGGAGTGCATCCTGGCACTGGCAACAGGATATTGAAGAAGGAGACGGTCGAGACCATGTTCACGAATCAGGTATGAGAGGATCCAAAAGACCCGAGCGGGGGACAAGAAATGCTCATTTGGACGAGATGATTGATGCTGACGATACATCGTGCCTGTTCTAGATCCCTGAGATGCCGAACTTTGGAAGACAGGTGAGGGTTGTTTCCCCTTTGACAGATGCTGGTTCGTTCCACGGTTGTGGACTACCGCCGGCTCCCGAGGAGGATGGAGAATTCCGTTCCTCGAGCATCTACGCATCTTGAAGACTGACTTGACCGGACTTGACTGGGCACAGGCCATCACTCCACCAAAACCCGACATGTCCAACGCCCTTCCGGAGCTGTACCCAGAACCTCACGACATCCCGCAAGGCTGGGGACTGACCTTCTTCCTCCATCTGCGCGACTCGGCCGTCCACAGTGAAGGGACAGGTTGGTGGGCGGGTTTGCCCAACCTGTTCTGGTGGGCAGATCGCAAGAGGGTACGTCTGGCTTCTTGTGGGTTGACTTGTTGTCGGCCGCTTCCCTGCCTCTCACTTTGGCCTTTTCCTACCCATCCCTCACAAGGAGATATTCTCTTTTCTTGGCTAACCTGCTTGAATTTCCAACTTCAGGGTCTCGGCGGCATCATTGCTTCACAGATTGTGCCATTCGGTATGACATTTCCCTACCCTCTTCTCTTCTCTTTGGAGTCGTTTGATTATTCCATTTCGTCTCTCCTTCCCTCTTCACCTTTTTCCATTATCATCCCATCCATCCTCTTGTGTGAAGCAGAACTGACTCGACAACCCCAACTTTACAGGCGACCCGAAGATCCTCGGACTCTGGGCACAGACCGAGGCCGGTCTTATCCAGAATTTGAAGTAGGAAAAGAGAGATCAGACAGGACAGATAAGCGCCGGGTGCCGGTGGGAGGGAATCAAAGGACAAGGACAAGGACAAGGGGATTTGGAATGGGAATGAGAGTGTCCGGAGCATCGCAGGAGGAAGTAGGAGAGGGAGAGGGAGAGGGACAGGAGGATATTAATTGCACAAGGATAACTCGCCCGCGCAACAGGAGAGAGTGTCTTCTAGTATAGGTATATGGGTATCTATCTATACATTTCGACACAAGACCCCTTTCTCCACCTGTCGCCGCCCTCGTCTTCTTACTTCCCAAACCATGTAATCTGAGAATATATATCTTCTCTGCTACAACTCTGCCAGTTTAGTTTAGTTTAGTCGATTTCAGTTTAATTTGACCAGAAGCTCCCCTCTTTCACTCTATCCCTTCGTCTCGACCGTCTCGACCCACGACAAACCCATCCGCAGTTCCGCGATGGATGATGTACTGAGTTATACTCGTATGTACCGAGTACAAAGTTAGATGAATTTTCAACAGAGACAAAGACAAAGACAAGAACGATTTCAAGGGATATGGTTTCGCAATCTGCGTTCGCTCGCTCTATCGAGAGGGGACATTGAATTCGTACCATGTAACCATATAATCCATATGAAGCGACTGGGCCACAGGTTACTGACAAGTGGGATCGAAAAGCGAGAGTGAAAGAGACAGTGATAACAGAAGAGGAAGAGATCATATATATATATATATATATATATATATATATGTGGCAATGATGACATTTTGTTTGGGTTGTTTGATATATTGTACATTGTAGCCGTTCCACACATGCCCTGCATCTATACGATGAACGTCGTGGTGTGTGGCGTGGGTGCAAGACAAGGCTCGGGCTGTGGGATAGACACCAAATATCTGTGTCTGTCTGAATCTTGAGGAGTAGCGCATCGGCCGACGACATGGGCGCTAACAATGTCTTTGGAGACTCCTCGTCCTCAACTCCCGACTTCCAATAACTGTAACGGGAGGTACTCCTGCTCAGCGGCAAACTTTGAGATGTGGGCTTTGGCGCTCAAGATGACAGTATCGAAGTCACCAAAAGTCCGCCCGTCTCGAATCCAACAGCATAGCTCAGTGCAGACCGGAGTGCATAAGGAAGTCGTGCGAGGCACAACGTTGCCTCCATCACCCACTTGGCGATACCTTGTTTGTAAAACAACAAAAGTTTAGTCCACAACCTTGCCGTAAAAGGGAATACCCAGTTGCTGAAGGAGGAGTCTGGCGTCTTTGTCACAGCTGGCAGTGGTGTGGATGGTGATGTAAAGACCCTGAAAAAAGTAATTAGCAAGATATGAATCGGGCATGTCGACACAAATCCGGGAAACTCACAGGTATCAGTTTTGTCGGGTATGCGTCGTAGTTGATTTCAATCTCTGGAAAGCCGGCAACAACATCAGGCGTCAACCCAAAAGAAAGGTTACCACTGTTGTCTCCAGTTGTGGCTCTGACTCCATTCCAGTCCTTGATACGAGGCAGGACAACATTGATTATCTTGCCCAGAAAATGATACATGTCTTCACTCTTCAAGTCTACTGTGAGACTGACCGGTCGGCCTCTGATCAAACCCCACCCCTGTTCATTGGATCGGGCCTTGTGCACCTCCACTCTTTGATTCGTGATCGCCTGTAAAATCATACCTGCGACGTGAAGATAGCCCGAGCCTCCTTTAAGAGCCCCTTTGCAGTACGCGTGCACCGTGACCCGTTCGACCATCGGCACGTTTCGAAAGGTAATGGGTTTTCTCAGTAGTCGCAGCACGTCTCCACCACGCGGGCCACGCAGCTGTCTGTTGGCAAAATATGGGTTGTCTCCGATCCACGGGCGTAAACGAGGACCCTTCTCCGGAGGCCGGAAGCCGGGAGGCGTATGTTGATAGCACATTGTCATGAAATCCGGAGCAATGATGTTGTGATAGGCAAGTTCGACTCGAGGCGACGAAAAGGGGCCAGGGACAAATTCTCGACTGGCAGGATCTGAAGGATGGAGAGGTTGATGGGGATGCATTGGGCCGCGATCATATCTGGGACTTCGGAATCGATACCTGCAGAGAGTGAGTACATCTTCGACAACATTGGGGGTTGCCCTCGAAAATACCTGCTGGGGGGTAGCTGTCGCTTTCTCGACTTCGGAAAAGCCAGAGGATCAAAGGCTCGGGTCTTGGGATTTGAACTCTGCATAGGAACCAGGGATGACTCCTGCTCAAGCTCAACGTATGGCTCTGGGTTTGCGACAACCGCTTGGGTAGCCATAGTTCGTCGTGACTGCAAGCATCTGTTGCAGAGGGGTGCGTGCTGCAAGGACCGCAATGTCCTGAAGAGACGAAGAGGTTTAGAAGAGGGCGGCATAGCGCACATATACACACGCCAGTCAGACTGAGGAAGTTGGACTGAGGGATGCAACTCGCAGACGGGACCAACAGTTCAGTCGAAATTTAGAGCTGTTCTCGTCAGTCAATTTCAATCGCAGAAAATCAGGTTGCATTTTTGGCCGCATACTTCACAGGAGCTTTTTGTACGGTGAGTCATCAAGAGCAGCTACGCAGACCCCAACTGCGCCTTGATCCCCACCTGTTCTCAGGCTGCTGTGTGCCTTGCAGAAGTCGCACTTTCACAAGGACGGGATCTTTGCGATTTCAACTCGGTACGCAGTACGATTGCGGCTTGAGCTGCTCCAAACTGTTTGTTCTGCCTGCACCTTCCTATACCGTCCCCCCGTTTCCTCTCTTCTCGACTATATAAAGTCGGGAAAAAAAGTATCAATGGAACGCAACCTTCAACTTTGGTCGACTTCCGCCAGACATTCGTCCTGACTGGCAGAAACGGTCGCAATGACCGGTCTCCCTACGTCAATCCCATCATGGAAGATATCGCCGTACAGGCGTCCCGGTACATACCCCTGCGTCTCGCACAGCCTGACCGTTCTGACTGATCTCTACAGGAATGTAAATCGTACAGAAACCGATCTCTTACAGACCCTTTTTCGTGCAGAGCCTGTAACTCAAGGCCTCGAATCCTTGCTGGCAAAGTGAATGCAACCAACCTATGAAAGGATGTCTCACTCACGAATCCAGGTTTCGTTCAGCATGTCAAGACTTCCTCTTGATCGACTTCCAAGCCGCCGCCGGCAAGAAAGTCGAAGACCGTCTGTGGAATGCTCATACCAAGGTCAATTCAAGGTTCAGGCAATACCTTGCCCACTTCCGTGAAGGAGAAGGCAAGAAGAAGGTCGTGGAACGTCGCAAAGCCGAAAAGCTCTATTTGGAGTTTATCAAGTCGAGCCAGCGCTTCTACCGAGAGTATATCCAGCGACTCGCCTCGACCTTTAAGGATATCCCAGAGATAATGGAGATTGCTCAAGGCATGAAGCTGGACAGTATGCCATTTCTCAGCCTATTGCCGTTATTTGCTGACATTTGTAGCTCTCTCCGCAGACCCACCACAGACCGTCGACGATGCCCTGAAGAAGCAGCTCATTGATTCATGTTATTCAGCCCTTGTGCAACTGGGAGATCTCTCGAGATATCGAGAAACCGAACTGCAGACAAATCGACGCAATTGGGGCCCTGCTGTTGGCTATTATAACAAGGCGGCCACGCTCAATCCTACGGACGGCAGATCTTATCATCAGCTGGCTGTTGTAGCTCTCGCTGACGAGGACCACCTGCGAGCTGTCTACTATCTCTATCGAGCCATTTGCGTCGAGAACCCTGCTCCACAAGCCAAAAAGAACTTGGACCTTGAATGCAAGAAGCTCAGGTCAAAGTCAAACCAAGGCAAGCCCATCTCCAATGCCGCATTGGTTGTTGAGGGTTGCCGCGACCTCCACGACCGCTTCCTGATATTTCACGCCAGCTGTCTCGGAGGTGACCCAGACGATCAGAAGGATCAGCAAATCGAGATTCTTCGACTTCTAGAGGACCAAATTCGAGACCGATCTGAAGTTTCAATCCTCGGAAAGCTCGTCTTGGTTAACTTGGCCGCAGGGAAGTCTGCGACCCAGAATGTTAAAGGTGCGCAGGAATAGAACTTGGAGCGAGCAGGGTCGCTGTCTTGTTTCTTTCATTTACTCACTAGCTCTGCAGGCACCCGGAGTTTCGAGATTTTCCAATCGTTTAATGTCAAAACCTTTTTCCTACTCCTCAGAATCTTGCTCGACGAACTGCAGGAACTCGCAAAGTCAACTACTAATAAACATGACGCAACGAAAGACTTGCCTCAAGTCCCTCCCGTAATGCGCCGCATGCTTCCTCATCTGAGGCTGTACAGTGGGTGGCTATTGACGACCATCGAACTCCTACTAGCGAGCGAGAGCCTTGTCGTGTCTCTGCGGCAAGTGTGGCCGTTGTATGTCAACGTCCTGAATGCCCTGATGCAGACATTTCCTCCGAAAGCTGGACTTGAGATTCAATACCTCCTAGACGAAGATGTGGACACCAGGGGGTTCTCTGCATTTAGTCCATTCGTCCAGAAGACACGCCTCTGTGATCGCACGGGAGCCACCAAACAGATGCACAACGACGCAGCATTTGGCCCTCGGAATCCAGAGCAAGAAATGTTGTATCGACTCAAGTGCCTAGTCACAGATGGAATGTTACTAGCTCGTAAACAGGTGAGCCGCTGCCGCAACGCACACTAAATCTCGCTGACATTTATAGGGTGGCTTCAAGTCCTTGCCTCTTCCTCTCACGTTCGCACACATGCGATTTATCTATCTTGAAGAAACCGATGGTGTTACACGACTTGAAGACCAAGTCGCACACCCCGTGGAATCTGCCTCTGCTCCCTCTGTTGAGAGCGTCCGCACTTATATTGGGCGCACGTCTCAGCATGACATTCCTGCGGTACAAGCTACATGCCAACAACCGGCGACCTTCGAGGCTGAAAACTCAATGGCCTCAAGAATGGAGAACATGGTGGATAATCTCATGCGGTCCGAAGCCCGCCGACATGCCAACAACTCTGGAGCCGTAATGTACGATCTTCCGCCGCCCACAGCGAGTGCGCCATCAGTACCACAAGGGCTCACCCACAGAAGCATATCGCAATCTCAGCCTCTTCCCCTCACTGCTCGAGACCTCGTACAGCGGATTCAGCAGCCATCGAGTGCATCACAGCCTAACGCGTTGGACCAGGCAGTGAACGTCGCAGTTCTGCCTTCCATCTTGAACACTCCATTTGCACCGCGACCAGGTGAAACCCCCGAATCATCGCCGCGGCCAAGCACCGCCCATCGTTTTCCCGAACCGGCATCAACACCAGGACCTGCTCGTCTCAGCAGTTCTGCCCAGTTCCAGGCCCACCTCATGCACATGCAGGATCAGGTGCAAATGCGGACGTCACCACTGGAGTCTTTTGAGCCTACAATGTCGAGTCACTATAGCACCCCAACAAATATGAACACCTGGGTCAGAGCGAATGACTTGGGACAACCTCAACTGTCACCGTGGCGATCTTCATTTGGTAGCGCAGTACCTGTGCAGCATCACGCTATCTCAACCAGACCTCCAGATTCCTCACCGTTTGGCGCTATCGGCGAATCGCGGCCCAAGAGCAGTCGGGCCCCTAATAGCGATCAGGCAGGATGATGTTGCGTGCTCTTCTCGCTTGCTCCAATTCCCGTGCGTCGACCTGAAAGCGCCACAATTAGCAGAGCGAGAACCAGACAAAATCGCATAGCCGATCCAATCGATGGAATGCTACGAGGGCATCTATTCCTATCCGCCGAATACCTGCGTACACTGACTGACTAGTCCCTCAGAAGTCGCATCGTTGCGGATCCTGCAAACTTGGCGCCGAAATCAACTGGTGTTGATATTTGTGACAGCATTCCCGGGCTCGAAGAAAGTTTGAGGACAACTATGCGGACTTACATATAACGGGATCTGCGTCGACTTTTGGACGCAGCAGCATTGACAACGTTCAGGTCTAGCAGGGAAACCTTGCTTGTGAACAAGTTCTGAGGAGAGGCAAAGAGAGACTGGTGGTCAAATCAAACTTGACTCTTTTCTTTTTGGCTTCTATTCTCGTTCCTGGTTCAGAAGGGATCTCCTTTTATGCCACTTCGGGCTCTAGTTTTCGGCATCAAGTTTCCGTATCAACAAGTCGTGAAAGACGTGGCATCATGTCTGACATACTGTCCGGAGGTCTTGTTGAATTAGACCTTTCTCGCTGTTAAAGCGCCCATGGTGGTACATTCTTCAAAGGAATTACAGGAACGCCGAACTCATGCAACAATTCAATCCGAAGCGACCTTTCATTCAAGCCTTGTATGTCTGCTTCGGCCGAGGGTATCTGCAGAGGGGGTATGTGTTAGAGACAGGTTAGGTTAGGTAGCGACGGTAGCAAAAACACTTACGCGGGTCCCAACTCCTGCAGACTTAATCTTGCCAACCACTGGCCCTTTTTGATACAGTCCTCGAGGGGATCACCCTGGACCACACCGGCGCAAAAGCCACCGGCAAAAGCATCACCGGCGCCGTTTGTGTCGTTGATCAGGTTCTTGTCGATGACGGGCACCGCGTACTCCTTGAGCTCCACCTCTTCTTTTCCTGCCTCGGCCACGGCCACAATAGTTGGGTCTGTGCCCTGCGTAACAATCACCACTCTTGGTCTCTTTGTGTTGACCTTGGGCAGCTTTGCCATCAGTTTGGCACACTCTTGCATCGAGATGTCAGAGGGGTGGCCTTGGGATTCGGCCCACGTCTTGGCCTCGTTCTCGTTCCCAAAGACAAAGTCGCAGTACGGCAGAATCTCGGCGAGCGGATCCTTGAAGAATTGGGGGATGAAGCCTGCCGACAGGCTCAGCATGAAGACCTTGTTTGTCTCGGCGGCGTGTTTTGCCAGCGCCATGGCCGCCGGCGGGCACACTGTCAGGTGATAGCCACCGACGTAGAAGCCCACGGTGGTCGCTTCAACCATGCTCCAGATCCGCGGCTCGAGGAGGTGCTCAAGCTTGTATTCGTTGGCGGCGGCGAGGTGCGTGCACATTGTGCGGTGGTGGTCTGTAATTATGACACCGCATTTCCCGGTGGGTGTGGCAGGGTCGACGCGGTACTCGACGTGCAGTCCTGGAGGGCCATTTCGTCACTAATCCGCTCGAGGGGGAGGGCATGCTTGGTGTGTAGGACACCAGCAAACAGTGGTGTGATGGATGTACCTACCTTCTTCCTTGCACTTTTCTCTCAAGATCTTTGCGTACTCGTCATCGCCCACGCAACCGATGTACCAGACACTGTCCGGGGGCAGCATGTACTGTGCACCTCTGGCGGTGTTTTGCGCTGCACCGCCGGGGATCAGCTTCGCGTTGCGGTTCTGGATGAGGTCGTCGTAGAGGCCCATCTGGTGGGGTTCCGCCAGGAGGGTGTCGTTCAGTTTCAACCCGTACTTTTCAAGCATGGCGTGATCACTACAGAGTCATGAGTTTTTGAGTGTCACCAATGATGAGGCTTAGGGAATGCCAGGGGGTTTTTTGCGCAGGTCAAGGGATATTGACGTACCCGACGCCCTGGATGTCTAGGAGGGGATTCTCCAAGCAGAGCAGCTTGAAGGATTTGGTCGCCATGTTGCGGAGCGGGGAGGGCAGAGGGCCCAGAGATAGCGATGAAGCCGGAGAAAACAAGGGTGAAAAGGTACGAAGGAGTGAGGAGGAAGAGGAAGTCCGGAAGGGTGAGATCCGTGGTCGTGCAGATATCAAACACCTTGTCGACAGCATCAAGTTGGGTTTTTCTTCGTGAGGACTGAGGATCACCAGAAGAACTGGAAATCGGTGTGGGGCATTCCAAAAGGTCGTGCATTGTTCAGTTTAGCCGAATATCTTCCCTGATCCAAGCTCTCACCACCTCTCAACGGGCTCTCCCTCAACTTTTATCTGCAAGGCTACGAATCCTAACCAACTCCAACTCCATCGTCCTTTGCCTCGCCCGTGAGAAAAGTGTCTTCCTCCGCCACTTCATTCGGCCAAGATGGCATCCGTCGCCAACGAGATCGCTTCCACCATACAAGCCGCCCACATCAAGCACGATCCATCTCCGGAGCACGACATCAACCCCTCGACGGCCGCGTCCCAGAAGATCCCCGGCGAAGTCGAGGCCATCTCCCCCCCGCGTTCTCGCTCACACTCCCTAAGCGGCTCTGAGTCCACCCTACCCAGCGACATCATCCGCGCACGTCCCCGAAGCCGGTCTTTCCCCCCGATCCCCGACTTCCGCTTCGAGCAATCCTACCTCGCGAGCATCAAGTCCGCGGACACCAACTGGAAGGTCGCCTTCATCACCATCCGCGACCAAGTGTTTTTGCCGCTGGCGCAGGGGATACTGTGGAACTTGCTCATGTTCGGATGGCGTCACTGGAACCGTGGGACTAAGTTCCAGGGCCAGAGCCTGGGCGCAAGGGTCAGGAAGTGGTGGTGGGGTGTCAACAACTGGAAGCTCCCGGACACGGAGGCGACGCGACTGAAGAAGCAGAGTGACAGGCAGGTGTTGCAGAAGGTCGAAGACTTTTTTGTGGATCGATTCGGAACCAGTCTGGGCGACTGAGGTTCAATCCCTCATGACCTTGATGCTCATTGAAGACGGGTTTTTGTTGGACGGCAAGTCTGTCCGGCTATCTTCACACAGTATCTTCAGCTACGCCGGCCCTCTGCATATTCCTGGTTTGGTGTATGATCCTGGGCTCTGACCCGCCACCGGATGTTTGCGTATGTGCAAGCTTGGATGGCTCGTGGAGAAGCCTCTTATAGAGGGATCGAATCAACAGGATCCCGAGCTTATACCAATACACACTGGGCACGTCGGCTTAACATTGGCCGTCGACACGCAGAGTGTGGACCTGGTTCATGGGAGAAAAGTGGAAAGCGGGAAATGGCGCCAGGACGCAAACCGTGTCGATGAGTCTAAGATGCGAGTCTAAGCGTGGTGGGGAGTTTGTCCAAGAGACGGTTGTAAACCGAAGGGCACGATCTGCCGCTTCACAATTGAAAATGATTCAAATCTCACGCACTAGAATTGTCTTTATAGCGTGGGAATCGAGTAGCGGGAGAAGAGGCTTCGAACAAGCTTCGAAACAGTGATAATCCGGACTTTGTCAATTCCTGTCCTATTTTTTAAGCACTCATTTCACCGAGCCGCGCCAACAACGTGGGTGCCGTTGCAGCAAGACGAGCAACCGGCGCCTCTCTATTGAGAGGAGCACATTTTCATCTCGTCGGAATTTCGTGTGAGCCACATTTTCAATTGACGCCATCGAACTGACTGCGAAGGTTCCCACCGGCCGTTTGCCAGGGTCTCTGCCTTGCTTTTCGTCGCGAAAGAAATAATGACTCCCTCGTATCCCTTTCAGGCCTCCATCTCCGCCCACACGCACTGAACCACCGCAAAACCGTAACCGTCTATCGGCTCTTGGCCTGCACCTTGCTCGGTGCACCCTTTGCGCCCTGCTTGCTCGTGATCTGACCCCGCGCTGCGTTCGCCGCACTCTTCGCCTTCTCGGCCTTCTTCTTGCTCTCGCTGGCAGCCTTCTTCTCCTTGGCGTCCTTAATCGCTGCTTGACGGGCTGCGGCACGGGCCTCTGGGCGTTGAGAGCGGCGCTCCTTGATCACATCGAGGGAAGCGCCCACGATGGCTCGCTGGTGTTTTACCGTGCGGCGGGTGCGTTTTTTGGCGACTTCCTATATGTGCAAGGCGTGTTAGTGATACAGGTGTCGTGTAGAAAGGTGCGGGGTGAGAGACGAGTGGTCATTTTGGCTGTCCCTCCTCTTTGGTTTTCGATATTCTGTTCTGCCCGACCGATCTCGTCGTATTCCGCAATAGGCAAAACGACGGTTTTGCTTCGAGACTAACCTCTGAGATACCCTTCTTGTGCATACGTCGGTAGAGCATGGTCCAGGCTATTCTTCTTGGGTTCTTGCGCTGCAAGAAAAGGGACTCGGTCTTGCCATTCTGGAATCGGAAGATCTTGCTGTCGCCGCGGACGTAGAGCTTGCCCTGTTAATCGTGTCAGACTCGGCTTGTCAAGGGGAACGAGCGTGCCATGGGGAATGTTGCGGAATTTCGTCCAGGTCTCGCTCTCCCGCGAGGCTCGAGGCCAAAGTGGGCGCAGGGGTACTGACCTTGCCAGGGTAGATCTTGGTGGCGCTGAAGGTGTCGTCGTAGGTACGCATCTTGACGTTCGACTGATGCTGTACCTATTCTTCGATGGTTCGTTGAGTGGGATGGAAAGTTGGTAACGCAGTCGGCGTTCAATAGTCTGCGGCGGAGTTGCAATTCTGCAGTGTGCGCGCCTTAGCTAATGCCAAGAATCATCATTATTACGTTCGATCAAGAATACAACTAGCGCAGTGTCATTGAAACTGTCACGTGCTTCAGAGGCCCCTTTTTCCTGATTGAAGTGGTATTCTTCACCAGGTAATAACCATCAGTCTCCGTTGTTTACATTCATTTTGTCTCTCTCTGGCGAGATGGATCATTCGAGTCATTGCCCTACTTCCAATAGTGGGTAGGCTTTCAGCTAATTGTACACGTTTGTCATGTTGTCACAGGGGGTGCTCTCTGATGTCCTGTCATCCAAGAGAAGCTCACTAGGATCCCAAATCCCGGCAGCATTATTCGTCTTCATGTCCTTGAAACTTGATTTGTACACCCTTGTCTTGAATCTTCATAGAGCGCGGCGATTCATATCCTCATCATGCCACAAGCATTCCGCCCACGGGTTCTTCTTGCATTTTCGGCACTGGATGTCCTTGCAGATCGGATTGGGGCATTCTCCACAGCAGTCCGGGCAGACCATCTTGCCGCAGCCGATCTCGCCACCTTTGGTGCATTGGAGGAAAGTAGGTGCCTCTTGGCCATATGGGAAAAGGAAAGCGATCTGGAGGAGTCTCTCTTCTGCCATCTTGAGCGATTCTGGGTTGTCTTTGTGGATCTTGACGGCCAGTGCAGCGGCTTTGTAGGCACAGCATGCGCGACCGCAGACAGCACAGCAGTGGTCGAGGCAAGTGGTGCATTTGAGATTGCGAGAGTGCCAGGCCCGGCTTGTGTTTGGATGACGCGAATATGGCTGTCCTTCATCATAATCGTAGCTGTGATTGTTGGTGGTAGTGCGCAAGTAACGTTCCTAGACCTTGATGTTACTTCACATTGCCACGATAACCAAGGATCAGTGACCATAACTTACGAGATCAGGTCGGTGAAGCATGTCAGTATTCTGTGGCGAGGCAGAGTCGGGCTGAGGCTTCTCGGATTTTGTCTTGAACAGATCAGTGACTTTGCGTAAACCAGTCTTCTTGTGCTCAAGTCCCTCTGAAAGTGGTGTTACAACCGACTTGCTGCTACCAACAGTAGCCCTGCCCGGGGTGGATGTGCCAGCCATTGGTGAACCTTCAGTGGAGACGGTGAAGATGTCATTCTGGACATTCTCGGCACCAAGTTGGAACGCTGACAGGTTGTTGCTGAGATTGTAAGTGTTCGCTGTGTCAGAGCTTTGTCGTGGCACAGGACGAGGCACGATGGGTCGGCAAGCAAACGGCTCTGGAGGATTTGGACTGGCTGAGTCTGCGGCGCAAACTGCCTTCGCACTGAATGGGTTGTCTTGGATTTTGCCATTATCATAGTTCCCTCTTACAAACGCGTTTCCAGGCATCGGCGCTGCGTCAAACTTGATTCTGCTTTGCAGATGAGCTTCACGTTCAGCCTTTTCGCGTTCAACCTCCTCGCGCTCAGCTTCGCGTTCCTTTTCGTCAAATCGTCGTCTGGCCTCTTTCACCAGTCGCTTGATTTCCTCTTTCTTGGACGTGCTGATCAGGGAAGGCGCGTCGCTGGTGGAGGTAAAGGGATTAGGCTGGTTCATTGGATGCTGACTGATGTCTGGTGCAGGGATTCTCGTCAGATGGGAAAAGGGTGCTTCGATGACTGTGTGCTTCTTCTGCACGGGGAGTCTGCCTTTGTTGGCACTTTGTGGAGGAGATGAGAGTGGCATGGCGTGAGGTTGGGTAGAGTGGTTTGGCGGTGACATTATAAGAGATCGGGCAGGTTTGATGGTCTTCTCATCATCATCTCGTGCGGTCTTCATGATGTCGGTGGAGGGAGGATGCTTGACTGGGTCGCTGTTCGGACAGGAGGAATTTGGGTGATTTCGGACAATGTCCAGGGCCAGATTCACGTCAAATTCAAACGGCTTCCCTGTCACAATAGACAAGGGCCTAAAAGACCCTCCTCTACGTCGGTTGTAGAGGGGTGCGACAGAACCAGGACCAGGACGTGAAGAATCACTCACGTGATTCTTCAGCCTCGTGCCCTTCCCTCCGTCTGGCGAAGTCTTCCGACTCCGCACAGACAAGCCCGTCAGGCTCAGCTTCTTCCCCAGAGTCCTTAAGGGGGACCCCGGGGAGCGAAGAAGAGCCTTGACAGACTGCGGCGTTGATGGCCGCGAGGGAAGGCACGAGGCTATCTCGTCAGAGTCCAGACTCCACCGGCTCTGCTCCATGGTGGACGTCTTTGATATGTGTTGATGTGAAAGGCAAAAAGAAACAGCGTGTCTTTGGGCCAACGCTCTCGACAGAAATATGTTGCTCCAGTTCCCGCCGAGCTTCAGCGACGGGTACAAAATCAACCAATGGCGCGCATCAGCCTCCAGTCGCTTCACCGGGGCGATGATGTTGCCGTGTTGGGTGGAACGCATATCAAGATCGGCAATCGATGATCAGGATGGACGGCATATCAAGAACGACAAAGACCGAGATGGACCACAAGCACTCTGTCCGCAAGAGAGGGACGAACAACAGTGGACGACACAGCACACATGCCACGACAGACACCTCAAAGACAAGCACAGAAACAATCCAGAGCCCGACTCACCACGGTGGATGGTAAACAACCTCAAACCAAAGAATCTTCAATTGTATTCATCATGGGGATAGTAGTATTCATCGTGCTGAGAGAATCGAAGGCAAGAGCCATTCTTCTCTGGTCATTGCATCAAGGGCGAAGGCTCCAGGCTCCTCAGATCGTCGCTCGTTCCGTTCCATGCCACAACTTCATCGCGTTCTCTCTTTCGACATCCCTTTCTTTCCTTGCTGCCGGTCATCAAAATGGAACGTTAAAATCATGGCATGGCATAGGTTTTGGTCCATTCTCTCGCTGTCTGGATCGCGGCCTCCTGGTCCTCCTTCCATCGCTGAGCAACATCATTCGCCAAAGGATCATCCGGGTTTGGAGCACCTAGCAGAGCCTGAATGGAAAGGAGAATGGTTCTTATTTGAAGCGCAGGCGACCAATTGCCTTGACAGAGGTTAGGCCCTAGTCCAGCCCAAAGGACAGAATTACTCACTCTTCAGCACATCCAAGCAAATTCGGCCGAGCTTGTCAATGTTGGGATGGTATATCTTGGTCAGAAATCTGATCTTGGGAGGGGTCATCGGGTAGTCGTCTGGCAGGAATAGTTCGAGCTTGAAGACACCTCCTGCAGAGAATCAGTCCTGACGACATCGTGTGTTGTGGTAAGATGCCCACTTACCTTCATATGGAGATTGTGATGGACCATGTATGCTGACATCAAAGTATCGCAGATTGTCTTCATGGGGCACCGCGCTAATCCCAGGGACACTGAAAGACTTAGATGGATCCCAAGTCAGTTCTAGGGCCAGGACGGGACGTACGGCTCCGCCATCAACCTCTCCGTCTCTTTTATGATTCGCTTGGGCAGCGCCATCACGAAGGTATAAGTTTCAACAGGCCGCAGAGGGCGCGTTGAGAGACCTGGACCAGGACAGTGTCGGAGAGCTCAGCTCTCAATATCTCCGTAGGTAGGATCGGAGAAGGAGGTCAAACCGGTGAATAAGTCGTGGAAGGGAGGCTGAAAGGATCTGGGAACGGCAGTTCGCACCAGGTGAGGGGACAGTGTCTGTGGAAAGAATGGTGTCTAGGTCAACGGTGGGGTATACGGCTGCCTGAGATAAGTTATTGACACTGGGTTGTGGCTGCTTTGCTAAGGCAATCGGCAGTCACCGTCGTTTGAGTCACTTTGATTGATATACCTGAAGGTCGATACCGCTTGGAGTCAACTGCGGTTTCCATCAAGACATCATGACTCGGGGAGAATCTTGGCAGCAGTATTTCATCTGTGGAGCATGACTCGCCTCATGTGCCTGTGATATTTCCCTCCTCCAACTGTCTCCCTCGTCACCACTTCCTCACCTCGTAGGAGGTCAACTGTTGGCTACACTGGCATTCGTTGTTTTGTCTCTGTTGATGTGTGTATCAGCAACGATAAATTGCCTAGTCACTAGCCTCCCTCCCGCGCATTTCAACGTGAAGTCCTGAACCGGGTCCAACTCACATGCAATTACGAACCCTCCAGTGGCCTTGGACAAAGAGCTACTTGTGTCCCCAATCAGAAAATCCGCCGAAATGCACTACAATCAATATGGGTATGAAACACGACGCTGTGCAGCTCCTTGGATATCGTTATCGACGGTGACAGCCTTACCGCCCCGTCAGACGTCCAATATCGCCCCGCATTTTAGCGTCCCGCACACAATTGTATCCCTTGGTAGACCAATACGAGAAGGCTGTCCCACCTTTGGACGAACACCATTATATGAGACTTGACTTGGGTGCAGTGCACCATGGCGGACCTGACCTTAAGTCCAGCCCTGGAGACATAGCAGTTCCTTCATGGTACGGTCACCACTGGGACATGCCACCACAATTGAGCGGGAATTCTTGACCCACTATTCATACTTAGTCCACAGGTCGGCACTCTGTTGTCTGTGTTAGGACACTGTTGCGAAAACCTAGATTTATTTCTTGGTGGAAGACTCTACTTAAGCAAGAACTCATCCTCCTACGTGCTTCTGTCCGACTCTACTTCTTTTTTGGGCCTTTACCACATAGCGACACCAATAAATGGCAACACAGCAACAAGATGAGGGTCCCGAGACCACGGATGTGATAATATGTGGATGCGGCCCTACTGGGGCATTGCTAAGTGCGCTCCTAGGTCGAATGTCCGTCAAGAATGTAGTATTGGAGAAAGAGAAGGACATCGTGACCGATCCTCGTGGAATTGCTCTGGATGAGGATGGAATTCGACTACTCCAGGAGATAGGTTTGTACGAGCAGATATACGGCGAGATTGGACAACACATTGGATGGACATTATTCACCTCTGGAAAGCATGGGCTCATGACCAAGCCATTCATGAAAATGAATTTAAACTCCACTGAAGGAGGTACTGGCCATGTTGCTGCTATCGCCCACAAGCAGCCTGTGATGGAAAAGCATCTCCGCATGGCCGCGAACAGCTGCCCTAGCTCACAGCTGCGGCTTGGGTCGACTATTGTGGGTATAGAAGAGAATGAGGACTCTGTCCAAGCACAATATATCGACAACAATGGCACAGAGCACACCATTCGGGGGAAGTTCTTCGTGGGAGCAGATGGTAAGACCGGGTTTACACGTAAACGCTATCTGGAACCAAAAGGTGTCCTCCTCCAAACACTTTCCGGGTGAGACATGTTTATTGCAACAGGTACATCAAGCAAAGTTGACGTGATGCTAGCTACGAGTATCAGGAGACGTGGGTTGCGATGAACTGGCACATGGATCTCCCCACGCCAGAGACACACCCAGGATTTCCCCTTTGGAAACTGAATTACTCCCCTGAACAAGTCTACGATAAATTCTTTCCACCAAACTTTCGATTTATTGGCAATCCTGAGAGGCCCTCTGTCTGCGGAAGCTTCGGCCCCCGGAGCGATAGACTCTGGCGGTTTGAATTCGTGGTGGACCAAGGGGAGGATCCGCAGGAGATGGCTACTTGGGAGAAGACGTCTGAGATTGTCTTACCATACTTGACACACCCAGGCGCTGATTATGGGTAAGCTCCTCAATTTCCATGTAGTGGCGTCTTTCTGCTCACCACCCACATCAAACTTGGCTAGTTTGAAAGATGCTGTGCAATACCCCCTGGATTGTATCCACGTTCTGCGGTCGAGACCTTTCACCTTTGCTGCTAGAAGCTGCAACAAATGGACTGTCGGAAGACTGATACTGTGCGGTGATGCTGCCCATGTTATGCCTCCATGTACGTGGTTCACACCCACAACTGAGTTCCACATTGACAAAAGTAGTTGGCGGCCAAGGAATTGTCTCAGGATTTAGAGACGCTTCAGGGATTGCATGGAGGCTCGCACTAGCTTGTCGACCCGACTTCGATGGAAGCTTTGAAACGCTTTTCAATGGATGGTTTCTGGAACGAAAGCAGCAGCTTGACCACTCACTTGCTGCTACAGTGGCCAACGGAAATCTCACCACCGCCCGGGATCCCACGAAGATCTTTCTCCGGGACTGGATCCTGTGGCTGATGCAGCTTGTCCCCAGCTCCAGACATAAGCTCGAATTGGGTCCTCGTGCATACGGCATGAACCGATACGCATTCAACGCCGGGATGGCGTTTCTTCCCGATCTAGCGGGTGGACGCTGTTTCCCACAAGTCTACTGTTGTCCAGCGTTCCCTTTGACCAGAAATTTGGTAGCAAATGTCCGCTTTACAGACGACGTTTTCTTCCATGATCCAAGAAGCAACGCGCTCCTGCGGCTTATTGTCGTGATTGATAATATGGAGCAAGCAGAGGAAGCGTGGTTGGAACTCAAAACCCTGGACCTTGAAAAAACCTCCAACAATGAAGTTCTCAAGGATTCCGCTTTCTTCCTCGTCCATTCTCCATTGCTCGAGAATCGCACAGCAAGCACCTCGTCGGATGTCCCCCATCAGAGCGTTTATCGCATAGCAACTGGGGACGAGTTCGCCGTGTCAGACCTTTGTAGGAACCGGCCTTACCCGACAGGATACGACATGTATCGCATCAAAAAGGACATGGGAGGGAGAAAGTACGTTTTGGTCCGTCCCGACCGATTTGTCTACGCCGCCTGTCACACTGGTGTAGAGCTCATTGCTGCTTGCGAACGCATCCCACAGACATTGTGCGGATCTTCTAGTACGACAAGACCGCGCGATTCGAAGCTCTAGATGCGCTGGGAGCTGGATATCAACAGGATGAGTAATTATCGAGAAGAGCTCATATAGCTACACGTTTACAAAGTCACCCGCCAGGACAGTTCGTAAAGCAAATCCCTGGTATTGAGTGTAGCTCCAATGTAAGTACCCCCAGGGCAGCTCAACCTACCCATGAGGGGCAACTGAAGACTGAAAGAGCGCCACATCACCGAAGCACAGAGAAGTACAAATTTCTACCCGCTGTCCATGATCCAAGATGACTCTAGTTTATGCAGGGCAGAGACAACTGGTGTCTCACTAAACATCATTCAAGTTTTATCTCTAGGGAGACAAAGAACGCCTGAAAGTTGACCACACAGTGTTTTGACAGGCCTCTAAGTAACAGCAGTGTAGCCAGCACCTACATGACTGTCCCAATAGGGTCTAATGTTGTTCAAGGTTGTCTTGCGCACCTCTCCGGGTTCTCAACAAGGCTCGATGCCCCTTTATAAGCCGTGACTTGCCAAGAGTGACAAGCTCACGTGCTAATCTGGTCATGTCGATGCTGACCGATGTATTATGTAACGAATCTTGGCATTCAAGCCAGCAAGGCTTTTCCGAACCACGACGCTTGCTACCTTTGTACCTCGTAGATAGATAGATATCAACGCTTGCGTGCCATGCTCGCTTCTGACGTACTGTACTCAGAAAACTGTGCGGAACTTGGCATAGTTGTCAGCCTCCGCTCCCATCACTTGGTGCTCTTGAGAATTTGATGCTCGGGCTTACGCGGACTGGCCTCCTACCAAACCAACAGAGCACAATCTCAAGACGCGTTTAGTGCTGTCGCTACTTGAGATGAAGGCTTCCGGCTCACTGCTTCACGCCAAGGGCGGATCCTCATTCCCTCGCCGTCCGTCGACAGGAGTTTCAGACGGATACTGAGCGCGGATTCCGGATATCTGGCTGGATCAGCGGGGCTTCTCGCAGACATGGCACCTCGAGGCCCAACTTCCGCTTTCGAGAGCGAAACCTTCGGCCAAGATGCATCTTTCAGACTCGAGCAGCCCGTGGGATCCATGACCATTTCCCCAAGCGGGCGTGATGTTGCATTGGCCTCCAAAGAGGGACTTCATATCATTGACCTGGATTCTCCCTACTCTCCACCACGTTATCTCCCTCACCGGACGCCCTGGGAGGTTGCTGACGTTCAGTGGTCTCCGTTCGCTGCGAGGGACTATTGGGTGGTCAGTACGTCGAACCAAAAGGCTCTGGTTTGGAATCTGGATGCTCGATCATGGCAGGATCCTATCGAGTTTGTCCTGCACGGCCATACCAGAGCAATAACCGACATCAACTTTTCCGCCCATCATCCTGACGTCCTTGCGACTTGCGCCGTTGATAGCTTTGTGCACAGCTGGGATCTGCGCGCTCCAGCGAGACCCGTTAATTCCTTCTCTGACTGGTTTGCCGGTGCTACCCAGGTCAAGTGGAGTCGACAAGACGAACATGTTGTTGCCAGCGCTCACGATAAGTTCCTCCACATTTGGGACGACCGAAATGGTGCATATCCCGTGCGCACCATTGAAGCCCACGGAACGAAAATCTATGGGATCGACTGGAACCGCCACGATCACAACAAGCTTGTCACCTGTTCCCTGGATCGTACCATCAAATTTTGGAATTTCAGCGGGGAAGAAAGCACTCTGGAGCGCGTCATCGAAGCTCCGTTCCCTGTATGGAGGGCACGTCATACTCCTTTTGGATGGGGACTGCTCGCCATGCCACAGCGCGGGAACAGCGACCTGCATCTCTATGACCGTCGTGCGGTCAATGGGGTCTTCGAGAGCGGCGCAGTCCGACCAGTTGCGACATTCAGGGGTCATGAAGGCCAGGTCAAAGAGTTCCTGTGGCGCGCTCGGGGTACAATTGTCGACAACGTTGACCATCGAGACTTCCAGCTGGTGTCCTGGGGTACGGACAGGGAGTTGAGGCTCCATGCCCTTGAGCCCGATATATATGCAGATATCGGGTACGAAAAAGGTGTTTCCAAAATCCAAAGGCTGAATTTCACACGAAGAGGCGCAGTGTACAAGACTTTTCGCGATGTCCCGGGCGACGTCGACTCCCCACTGGACGAAACACCTCGCAGTGAAGTCTTCTCCCGTCACGGCCACCTCACGCATTTCCGACCTCGTTCGAGCACCAGCGTGGGCATGAGTAAAATGCCTGTTTCACAATTCCGTGGCTGGGTCCAAGGAGGCCGTTATGCGCAAAGATCTGGCATGCACGGAAGAGGCAACAATCGGCAGAATACGGATCCAATATCATGGTTGAAGAATGTGAAGATATTTTCTTGGGACCCTGACACCTTGGCTGAGGAGATCCGACAAGTAGGAGAGAAATTCAAAAAGGTAGAGTTTGAGGTCGTTGATATCTCGCATCGAAAGGCCGTCATGTCACTGCAAGCCCCTTGGGGAGAAGACCAGAGCCAGGTGTACTTGAGAGTGGAGATGAGGTTTCCGAAATTATATCCACGGAATGCAAACGCAGTCTTGACTCTGCAGAAATCGAGGTTTCTGGACGAAGCGACGCACCGACTGATAACAACAGAGTTGCACACAATTGCAGAAACCTATGCCTCCAGGAAACGTGGGTGTTTGGAAGCAGTTCTACGGTACTTACTCAGAGAGCAGAATCTTGAACAGATTGTGTCTTGGGTTCTTGGAGAATCACTGGTCGATTCAAAGATCTTGGACACGAGCACGATCGGAGCCGACGACTCTAGCAGTGACAGTGACGATCAACTCGATGGCGTGCGAGAAGGCCTTGATGCCTCAGCGAACGTTCTTGTACCGCTGGCCAAGGGCTGTGGTGCCATTTGGTCCGAGACTGGAAAGTTGATTTGCTTCTTTCCTGCCAAAGGAACTGAACCTGTCTCCTTTTTGAGCACCTTGGGCGTCAAAGACCTCGACGAGTCCGACTCGAGCAGACTCTTCGAAGGCTTTGGCCGCTTACACACAAGCTCACCTGCCCACAAAACCACCCGAGGAACCAAGACCGCGGACGACAACTCGGACTCTGACACATCAGACTCCTCGTGGAAGTCATCCAGTAGTTCCTCATCCTCATTCGAGAGCGAGCAAAACATTCCTGGCGTGTCATCATACCGAGTCGGAGCTTCCGGGCTCCAACAACGGTCACGCTCACCTGATCGTTCCAACCAATCCACCACCGGTGGCGCCAACAAGCTGAATGATGCTCCCCGTAAGAGTGCTGTGTCAATACACACTTTCGATGACCTGATTCCATCAAAGCGCGAGCTGGCGGTTGATTATCAGATGTTTGGAGACGGACCAGAAGTTTGCAAACACAATGCTGCTGTTGCTCGAGATGCATCGTTCAAAGACCTGGAGTCCGTGTGGACTGCTGTCAGCCTTGTCTTGGATCACTCGGTGCCTTTGGAAGTTCTCTCAGAGGTCCGGAATCCGAGTTTGCGAGACTTGTTGGTGATCGCGAAACAGGCACAAGGAAGGGGTTCCCGAAAGGGCAGCATTCATTTAGACAGGCACAAAATCTTTGGGAGGACTCGATGGGGCAACCACCCGCTTGGCTCGACCTACCTGCTTCCAGCTATCTTCGACTACTTTGAACGACTCGGCGATGTACAGATGCTTGCTACCTTGGCTTGCGTCCTTGTATCAAGTCTCAACAACGGCTTCATACCGGGTGACACACAAGAGACAGCGCATCAGCCTCCCTCCGGCGACATCTCCCTCATTCGGGGTGACTATTTTCCATCCAGGGCCGCGGCCAAATCTTCGCTCCGAAGAGATGTCGACGTGGAAGGATATGTGTTTGTCCACTCCAAAAATGTGCCGTTGAGTCCCGGTATTCCGGGACTGGGAAGCTCTGGAAGTCGACGCAGACCACGCCATATTCTAGGCCGCCAAGCCAGTCAGCTCTCCTCGACAGCGGCTAGTTTCGTTGCGGAAGACTCTCATGACCACTCTGCGCCCTATTCAACTGCTGTCTCCGTCTCGACGTCTCCCGAAGGGAATCGGCCAAGCAACAAGTCAGCCTCGGGCATTTCTTATCCTTCTGCGCGAGCAAGTCTATCGGCCTTGACACAGTCGTATTCAAACTCGCCTCCGAATCAAAGCTCATCGTCGGGCTTTGCATCCAGTCTGAAAAAGTACAGCCCCTCAGGGTCACTGGCTCCTGGCTGGGTGTCTTCTGGCATATTCGGCAGTCAAGCAACGAGCCGGGGTTCACGGCCATCCTTTCCTTATAATGAAGGTGGGAGTCACGATAGCCGCGAGCTAGGCAATCGCTCATTGCTGTCATCCTCTGGCGCGCAGAATTCTCGCAAAGGCAAAACTTTGCAAATGCCAGCAGGCCGGAACAGCGATGCGCCTGTGGTTGGCTCAGAGATGTCAGAGAAGACTGTGGGGAAGAAGCCTCCAAAGCGGAGGAGGATTAAAACACACCTGGTCAACCAGGACAAATTCGATCTAGACGGGTACTCATCTACATCAATCTTGGATGTTGACCTCAAAAGCAAGTGCAGATTCTACCAAGAAAGCTATGCAAAACTTCTCGACGTGTGGCAGTTATACCTACAACGCGCCGAGGTTCTCAAATTCGATGGCATAGTGGCAGAAGGGTTGGAGTTGGGGCATGGTCGATCAAATACTGTTCACTCGACCGCTGGCGATGGCCTAGAGCGGCCACGCAGGAAGATGTTGACTTCGGCATCTCAAGCCACGAATCTTGGTCTCGAGATAAGGCGCCTTTGTCGCAATTGTGGTGAGCTCCCGGCACCGATAGAGAAAAATGGTATACCCATTGCATGGCAATGCGTCACTCCGACATGCATTTCGTCCGATCAACAGTTGGGAGTGAGAGCTGGCAAAGCTCCCAAGCGAAGTGCCTGTGCCATTTGCAATACCTCGATTCAGGGTCTGGCGGTGCCTTGCTTACAGTGTGGGCATATGACATGCTACGACTGTGCTCAGGGATGGTTTGGTGCTCGACGAGCAAAGGACGACAAGACAAGATCGAGGCGTTCTTCGGCCGAGAAAGCACAGCTTTCGCCAGTTGAGGACGAGGACAATGCGGATGGCTTCAGCGAGGAGCAGCCGGATGAGCACGATTCTTGTCCAACAGGCTGCGGCTGTCCCTGTGCAACGCTCATCACTGTCGACGTGCCATATCCTTTGCCGACCGATAGAAGTGTCAACGTCGGCAATCGTGAGCATTCCTATCTGGAACCGCCCCAACTGACCCATCAACTTAGCCGTGGCAGCGGAGAAAGTTTCAATCTACCTCGCTCAACAAGTGTCGTCGTCCCTCCATCACATTCGCATGCCTCGACCGAAACCGGGACTGGAGGCGCAGATACCGCGTTGGCGGCTTTTCTAGCTCTCACTCAGTCCCACCAACGATCGAAGTCGGTTCATGTGGTGTCAGCACGAAGCAAGGCATCCTCGGTCTCTCGACCTCCTGAGGTGCAAAGCCGAGGTGGGTCGAGCAAAACGCCAAATGACAGCGGCAAAACGACCATATCAGATAGCGATGCAGAGCCAGCTACAGTGTCGCAATCGGGTGAAGGGGAGGATTCGAACTCTCTCAATCCTTTTGTCGCGAGCAAGATTGCGACGCTGGGACGAGGGATTGGCGCCGGGCTCAGTCGCGGGTTGACGTCGAAGGCGAGTGACGCCACCATTCGGAAGATCAAGCGATAGATCAGCCAGGGGTGCTTTGTATGTTTTCTAGTATTTGTACTCATTAGTTTGTGGGTGGATATGTAACACTATAGCTATGGGTGTATGGGGGGGATGTGTGTACGAATATGAGGGAAGTGAGGTGAGATGACCCGATATGAAGGTGATGTGGAGGATGTGGCATACAAGTAATAATGGTGGTAAAAGACAATAAACATGCCAAGCATTATACCAAGCATTCTGTATCGGTACTTAGTGCCATACCAAGCATGGACTAGTACCACTAAGTACCTATGACTTAGTGTGTTCATACTCGGAGGCATTAACAAGCATGACTGGTGCTACTGAATATGTACGACAACATACGAGTGCCGAATACCACCTACCAACTCCATTCCTCTATCGACCGATTCATTCGCCATCCACCCATCTCCCCAGCATCTCTGCATTTCCCCATCACTCGGCATTTGAGCGGCAGATTTTTCTCTGCCGACATGCATGGATCTGCAGTGCAACTAGCATCCTTCCCTGCCATTTTCAGCAGGAGGCAATGAATGGAGTGGTGATCGCCGTCTGCTCCACAATTCCCCGCAATGGCGACGTCGTCTATTGTCATTTACGGGCAAATGGTCAATGATTCGATCTCCCATACCAACATTGAGGCGTCACAGGGGCTTCTGGCGGGAGCAACAGCGACCGCAAACCCCCGCCTTTGATGGATGGATGGATGGATCGGCATAACTTGCAGGAGAAAGAAACCTTGTTCATGTTTGTGTCCCCGTGCTTGCTTGACTGGGCAACTCCCCGGTGGCCTCTGGACATGAAAACCACATCTCATGGGGTTATCGGCACTTCAAGCCGACCGGTAAAGTAGCTGCGTGATGCGGTGAGTACATGGTAACGGGTGAGTTATAAGCTGAAAGGCCCATACTCTCTCTCTTGTGACGTGCCCGTCTCCGCGTAACGTGTTGTCCCCCCCCCTCTTCTGGAGAAGAGAAAAAACAAAGATACTTTTCTACCGGCATGATACTGCTTCCCATGTGCAGGCTTCTGTACTTGCTGCTTGGCTCGGCCGTATGGGCGGCGTCGGGCTCCCACGCGGCACTGATCGCCCGTCAAGGTGGCCAAGCACCGACCGTCAAGGTCAAGAACGGCAGCTATTATGGCGTCTACCAACCGACATATGATCAAGATCTGTTCCTGGGCATGCCGTTCGCCCAGCCGCCCCTGGGGAACCTCCGCTTCAACCTGCCCCAGTCTCTCAACACGACGTGGACAACCGCCAGAAACGCCACGCAGTATGGCTACGAGTGCTACGGTTACGGCAGCGACCAATGGGTTCTGGGTAACGTGGTGAGCGAGGATTGTTTGACGCTGAATGTCGTCCGCCCGAGCGGCGTCGCGCCGGACGCGAAGCTACCGGTCGGCGTATGGATTCATGGCGGTGGCTTGTAAGGAAAATCAGCCAATACTGATGGACGAACCATACAAAGGCTGATGACTTGCTACAGCACCGAAGGCGGCAGCCGAGACCCTCGATACAACTTGAGCTTCATTGTGCAGCAGTCGGTCGAGATGAACCAGCCCATCATCGGGGTGAGCTTGAACTACCGTCTCCAGGCATTCGGGTTCATATACGGCACCGAAGTGATGAAGGCTGGAGTCACCAATTTGGGGTTCCGCGACCAACGTCTGGCGTTGCATTGGATCCAAGAGAACATTGCGCCTTTTGGCGGAGATCCGACCAAGGTCACCATTTGGGGCGAGGTGAGCAGTTTTGGTTTTTTTCCGTCGCGTCGTCTCTAGAGGGAACTAAAGTCACTGACGAACGAATTTCCCTTGCAAAGAGTGCGGGCGGCAACTCTATAGGCACACAACTCATTGCATATGGTGGTCGAGACGACAAGCTCTTCCGAGGGGGCATCATGGAAAGTGGAGGACCGCTTCCGTTTGATCCACTGACCAATGCGTCCTCTTGGGACAAGTACTACAACAGCATCACCAAGGCGGCGAACTGCAGCTCCGCACAAGACACGCTTGGGTGTTTGCGCAAGGTCCCGATCAAGGAGCTCAACAGCGTGCTGAACAGCAGTGCTACGGCAACCGTCCCTGGCTGGGGCGCTCAGATCGACGACGACGTACGTTTTGTTTTCTCTCTTTTGTTCAGCGAACGAACTTGATGAAGCGAGCTTTACTAATGACAATATACACGCAGTTCATCACCGGCTCTGCCGCGAAACAACTCGTGGCGGGCAAGTTTGTCCGAGTGCCCATACTGCACGGCACGAATTTCGACGAAGGCACCGCGTTCGGCGCAAAGGGGGTCAACACGACGGCGCAGTTCCTGGCCGCCGTACAACGCACCGGTCCCAACGCCACCGTCGCCGAGGCTTTTGCGCTGTTGTACCCGGACATCCCGGCCATTGGGATCCCCGCGACCCTGCAGGGCCGTCCGTCGGGGAACTACTCGTTCCTGGGCGCGCAGTACAAGCGCGCCAGCGCCTACGGGGGGGACATCCTCATGCAGGCGCCCCGGCGCGCGACCTCGCAGGCCTGGGCGGCCCGCAACGTCAGCAGCTGGAGCTACCACTTCAACGTGGTCCCGAACGGCGTGCCGCCCCAGACCGGCGCCACCCACTTCCAGGAAGTGGCCTTTGTGTTCCGCAATCTCCTCGGCGAGGGGTACAACAACTCGGTGGCGGTTGACCCGTTCGCGGGGAAGCCGCCGTCGTACGACGCCCTGGCCACGGCGATGAGTCGGATGTGGGCGAATTTCATCGCGTCGGGGGATCCAAACGGTCCGGGTGGTGCGAACGGTGAGCTGCATGATGCCCTATACGTCCCATCTTTTCAGATTCTCTTCCTTTTTTTGAGGAAACGTCGATTGCTGACAACCTCTCTCTCTCTCTCGTAGCATCCTCGTCATCCATCCACTGGCCGGCCTACACGCTGGCTCAACCGAAAAACATCGTGTTTGACACCAACGCCACGGACCTGATGTACGTCGAGGACGACCTCTACCGCGCCGAGGGGATTCAGTACATGATTGATTTGTTTCCGACGGCTTATGGCCGATGACGATGACAATGACAATGGTGATGCGATGATGGTGACGACAATGATCATGGTATGTGTTTGAGCTAAGGGGCAAAGGTCAAAGGCGAGGGGTCACTCACCCACTTATATATGTATGTGTGTATGTGTCAGCAACCCTCACGCATGACTTGGATGCTATTATCCTAGCATTTTGGGACAAGTAAAGTCAGAAGCTACATACACTTATACATGGTTCACATTTATACATATCTACCTGTACCGAGTAGCTCCCGCCACACTTGACGCGTGAATGTCGACATTGCTCACAGGCAATTTCAGTGTGTTTTGATGTACCTAGTGGTGGAGTAATTGCTTGTGCATGCAAAGTCGTGTGTCGATTGAGTAGATCTCGACGGGTAAGGCAAGGTCCACAGATACATATGGATGGCAAGAGTGCTGATGGTGGACAAGAGTGTCAATTCCCAGAACCGTCATCACGTGACATTGGATTGCGCCTGGCGGTAGCCTGCCACGTGCCTGCCAGCCTACCCCGGGTGACCTGCCGTGCCTGCCTCGCTGGCCGAGGTGGTCAACCTGGGCCGTAACACCTCCTCTCACTTTCGCCCTCGACCTTCGTCCTGTCTATTCTTACAATCTCAAGACGATTGAGCTTGCTCGCCCACATCAAAGGCGTCATTCCAGTGGCGTCCGCGGCATTGACATCAACTTTAGGATTGGAAGTCAGTCGAGCAGCCACGCCCCCATGGTCGTGCTCCACAGCGAGAGACAGTGGCGTTCTCAGGGTCCTCACTTGCTGGCTGTCAGGGATCAATGTCAGGCTGGCCTGAACTGCGCCCGACTGCAGTGCGATAATGCCCCTCACATCTTCATTGTTGGCGCAGAGCGTTTCAGCCAATACCGAAACGCCACATGTGACGACGCTTGGAGGGGAGGAGAAGGGGCGTCGATGGCATTCTACCAAATCATGACTGGCTCTGGTCTTCACGACCAACGGTGCCTCAAAGGCGTCCATACCCAGAGACCCAATCTGAGCTCAATAACTGTGCGTTGGGCATCAACACCTTACTGCGCTTCTCCTTCATATTAGCCCATGGAGATTGCGGAACTCCAGTTCTCACACCTTTGGTCCAGGTTATTCACACAGGTCGAGGAAGCGGGCTAATCTGACTTTCATCCAGTGAGTGAGACCATGGCACGTTGGTTTAAGCCAAAGGATCACCCTACTAAGACCAAGCATCATCCGCTTGTCGACCACACGCTTAGCAGCACAGACACGCAATCCGCTCCAGTGCTGGTCGTCGAACGTCGACAAGTTCTTTCCGCAAGTACGACACATCAGACTAACCAGTAACAGCCGCTGCCTAACATGGCGCCAGTGGTAAGACCAACCAAAGCAGTTACCCTTGGCACCACATTTAGTACCGCACAAGGCTCGTGGCATATGAAATGTATTATGTGCAACTGCTGGTCATTTTGTAGACGTCGATCTTGTATGGACACCGCCTACCTTATATAGGAACCCATGGTGTTACAAATCTCAGCCTTACCTGTCAGCCTTACACGCCTCTTGTGACTCTCCAATCTCGCTCGCCGCCTAGTATAGCTATCGTAGGTATGAAAGCCTCGTCCTACGATGACACCTTATTACCCTGACCTTTTTACGAAGGTTAGCCGAATTATTTCCACCGTGGCACACAACAGACCGCAGGGGCGCTAGATAGATTTAATACCAACCAAGTTATGTATCATACTCACACACCTTGCCTGTATAAGTACTCGGGAAAGGTAGTTCATCTTGGCACTTTTATAACCTGCATTAGGTTAGTGCCTCATACCCTAAGCCGGAAAGAACAAAATATCTTATCGTGGCCCAGAAAAGCGTCGGCTCCTCAATTTGTGTGACTGCATCATATGGGAGTAGATGGGCAAAGTCCAGCGTCAAGGCCGCAAGCATCAGCACCACTCAACATTCGGCAAATCCGCCGTGGTCAGGAGACAGCACAGCCATCACCCTTCCACCAAACCCAAAGCACCATCCACCGGGTCCCAACATGGTCAGCCACAGGCACGGGTCAAGGTGCCTTTTACCAAGCATGACAACGTTCTGCTTGTTGGCGAAGGTGAGTGCCAGTGCCCGGTCTTCCTGGTTCGAGGCCTCTAGACGGACTTGATGGCTCATTGATGGCTTATTGATGCGGTGGCTGCTAATGACATTCTAGGAGACTTTTCGTTCTCGCTGTCGTTGAGACTACACCACAAAGTGAACCAAATAGTAGCAACCTGCTATGACTCCAAGGACATGCTCCAGAGCAAATACCCGGATGTCCAGAAGACTATAGTACAGCTTTGGTCGGCCGCTCGTGGCAATGATACCGACACAACACAACATGAGACAGATCAAGGCAATGAGACCGCGAACCACAAAGACGACGAATGGAATGGGTTTTCTCCGTCGCCACCTGACTCTCCTACTCACGATCAAGTCGAAGGCTCAGACCGGCCTCGAGACGAGGAAGCTGTCCACATCCTTTACGGCATTGACGCTACGAAGCTTTCGTCGGCGCATAAGAAAGCCCTCAGACCATATTCTCCCTTCACAAAGATTGCCTTCAACTTTCCCCATGTGGGAGGTCTAAGTACCGATGTCAACAGGCAAGTCCGCTACAACCAAGAGCTGCTGGTAGGGTTTTTTCGGTCGGCCAAATCGTTGCTCTCGTCTCGAACCCGTCCGGCAGCGATTAGAGATGACGGGAGTGACTATGATGATATCTCAGAGGGTCTCAAACCTGGTGCGGTGAATGGCCAGATTCTCGTCACGCTGTTTGAGGGCGAACCTTACACGTTGTGGAATATCCGGGATTTGGCCCGTCACTGCGGCCTCAGGGTGGTGGAAAGCTTCAAGTTCCCGTGGTCTGCCTACCCAGGGTACCGTCACGCGAGGACCGTTGGGGATATCACCACCGGCAAGGACAGGAGCGACGAAGGGAAGAGGAAAGGAGCCTGGAGAGGCGAGGAGCGTGACGCCCGGTGCTACGTGCTCGAGGACCAAAGTGCGGAGCCGGAGGATGTGGTGTCACCCCGAGGGAAGAAGAGACGGAAGCAGGGGAGTGACGAGGATGACAGCGAGTGACACGATGTCCCTGTGAATATCCATAGAGGTATACGAGGTATACATATGCATTTGTCACCCCAAGTGCAATATCATACTGTCCAGGACCTGGTCATTTTGTTGTTGTTGCCAAGGACGCCCAGATAGCCAGACTCCTCACGAACATCCCGTCCACTTATTCTCCGCAAACTCAAGCCACGAGCCACACGCCGTCCCCAATCAATTCCACTTTCTTTTTCTCTGCCCTTCAACTACTTGGTACTATCCCTACTCTTTTCCCTCACTTGCCACCGAATTAGACAGCTACGGCCCGTAGAATATCTGTCGCAACCACATCTGACATCCTCAGTAACCCTCCACCATGGCAGACGATGCGCCTCGCAAGCGGTCACGGTTCGACCAGACAGAACCTGAGCCACGAAAGACTTCGCGCTTCGACAGACGCTCCAGATCTCCATCGTCCCGACACAGCGAGTCTAGGAGAAGTCGCAGCCCGCTCGCAAAAGCTAGTCAGAGTCCCGCAGCGTCTGAGAAGCGCAGCACCCCGCTAGATCCAGCTGCCGCCGCCGGTAACTTCCCCCGTGCATACATGCCGTGTCGCGCTGCTAACACTCACAAAGCTGCCGCTGCTGCAAAGATCAATGCGGAGCTGCAAGCCCGCAAGGGCATTCAGCATGTCGACGTCCCTCCAGTTCGATCCGTACGTCGATACAGGCCGTCTGGACAAGCCTTTTACGCTGACCGTTCTTTAGTCACTCACTCCGACCCCTGCTCCTACTCCTGCGACTCCTTCCTCCGGTCAAAGCGCAGCCAAGGTTGACGGGGAGATCTACATTGCCGATGGAGACTATATCAAGGACATTGAGGTGAACGACCTGCGCAACCGCTACACTTTGACAAAGGGCTCTACGCAAAGGATGGTAAATTTCCCCTCTCACCTACTTTGATTGCATCGTTTGCTTGGTACTGGGTGTGTCGAGCTGTCCTCAAGAAACAAGCTATCTTTTGTCCGGCGAGAACAAGTACTCCAGCCGAAGGATGTCTCTCAAAACATTTACGTGGGTAATTTGCTGACATGGCTTGTCTGCCTTTAGATCAAGGAAGAAACAGGAGCTGGTATGATTACCCTGGCGCAATTCTTTGGAGGTTGCACAAGACTTACCTGTATTCTGAAGATGTCACAACCCGCGGTTCCTACTATCCGGATAAGTCTATGGCTACTGCAACGGTAAGCCACAGAATCTACGAACATGACCAGTCGACTAATGGGACACAGAATCCACCTCTGTATCTGCACGTCACCAGCACCACCAAGGCCGGGCTCGAGAAGGCTATTGCGAAAATAGAGGAGCTAATGAAGCAAGAACTTCCCAATCTGGTGGACGAAAGACGCTTTCGCCGCAGGGAACCGGAGCAATTTGAACGAGATGAATTTGGCAGGGTACGTAAAAGACGACGTGATTGTTTGGTTCTCGCAACTCACCTGTGATCAGAGAAAATGGCCCGAAGAGCGGATTCCCATCGACATGGAGAATATTCCCGGATTCAACCTCCGCGCACAGGTCGTGGGTCAAGGCGGTGCCTACGTCAAACACATCCAACAGGAGACGGGATGTAGAGTCCAAATCAAGGGCCGTGGATCTGGCTTTATGGAACACAGCACTGGACAAGAGTCGGATGAGCCCATGTATCTCCATGTTGCAGGACCTCAACCCGCTCAAGTTCAAAAGGCCAAAGAACTGTGTGAGGATCTGCTTGCTAACGTCCGCGTGAACTTTGAGCACTTCAAAGCCAACCCGCCACCACCGAGAATGGAGTCATACACTGATGGTTACGGAGCTGATGCAAATCGCAGTTCTTATGGACACGGAAGAGACCGCGGTCGCGGCGACAACAGTTACTCGCATGGCAGCAACAACTACAACTCCCCCTATGCTGGAGTGTCAGCCACCCCTGCGCCTGGAACTGCTTCTTCACCCACAGATTACGCCGCACAATATGCGCAGTACTATGCCAGTCAACCTGGCGGTGATCCTTACGCTGCCTATGGTGGCTATCAAAACTACGTTGCCTACTATCAGTACTACCAACAGCAGGCCGCTGCCGCTCAACAGTCTCCACCACCACCGCCATCAGGACCAGCAGATAACAATCCCCCGCCTCCTCCGGCTGATAATGGTGCTGCAGCACCTCCACCACCTCCTCCATCTAGTGGCTACTCGGCGGTGCCGCCACCTCCAGGTTTATGAGCATGTCTCGTGTCGTTAGGCTGACAATGTCAGATCAAGCACTCCGACACCACTACGACACCTCTTTCAGGGCAACATTGACGTTCTCCTTCCATCATTCTTTCTTTGACCTTGCTGTTCCGACAGGAGTATAGCAATATTCTGCCAGTGGGATCGCGGTTTGTATTTCGTGCGCACGGGAAGGGCCAACTTGAACGTTGGACAGGCAAAGTATCACAAAAGGACATAAAACTCGCGAGAGCTGATCGGTCAATAGGGACCTGATCCCATAATTCCATTTGCAAAGCTTTCTCGCGCGTTCCCAGCAGCTGACTTTGTTGGCGTAGTCGTGACAACTCGACCAGCTGCTCGGCTCGGCGTAGTGAGCGTATCATATGATGAGATGGATACGACTCGTTGTCGCTGAGTTTGGGCAGGTCGACTCGACACATGAACGGCTGCATGTGAGTGAGCCACACTTTATCTAGAATCTCATATAACGGGTCTCTCGGTCTGAGGTCTTTGGAGGTTATACTCCCGTGGACAAGGACCTTTGAGCCCGAAGCAGAGTTTATACGGTCAATCTATCCGTCAGTCAGTCAGTCAGTCATGGCGAGGAGAGAACGAGTTCTACCGGTCGTTCGTCCTTTTCGTTTCTTTTGTCGTGGTTAACGAGCGAGTCGTTACACGCCTTATTATCTGTCCCTGTCGATGCTGTGGTTCTATCAGTATACTACTACTGCGTCCGCCTATCTCATCAGTCAAGCACAGCAGCATACATAGCCAGACGCATAGCCAGGTGGACGGATTCCACCAGAAGAAAAGGAAGAAATCCAGAGATTATTGGGAGCAGCATACGACATTCAACGATACAACACCCACCTCCGGAGTCTCCAATCATTTATTTATTTTCCTTCCCAGTGTGTTTGAGCTGCGAACTCTCCAGACGATCCAGTCCAGTCCGGTCCATGACCGAGTACCGAGTTCTGTAATGGCTCTGGCAACGCTTTCTGGGATTCCAATGCTGGCCTTGCATATATATGTATATATATATCCGTCGTACTCGGTATAGGATTCTCTGATTAACCCCGAGGCGAGCCTTCGAATTGTTGACCGACTGACTATACATTCCATTACTCTACGCCCTCAATGTACCTGGACCTGGTAGAATGAATACATATGTTCTCACAATTTCTAAATGTATTTGTAAAAAGTACAGAAGCCGAACGGAACATTTTCGCGTCGAGTGATTCTTGTTTCGACATGACCTCTGTACGTTTCAGAGATTCTTCGAGCCACATCCTTCCTGGCCCGTCACACACAAATCAAACGCCTCGCAATGCATAAGATCTTCGTCCAAAGCCATTGACCAAGTCAACATATTGAGAGAATAGTAGTCTAAAACTTCGCCGCCCTCACATCGCCCCACTCCCGGACACTCACGCCTTGAGACTGTCTCGATTACTCTGGCTGCTGGCGCTCATAGTATTTGTCGTGGGCAGGATGGTCTTGGGTTTCGACGACTCTCGGACTTTAGCGAGTGCATAGACAATGCCGCTGAAAAACCCAACGGTGATGGCCGAGACACTGGGGATGGTAACAGGTGCGTCGAAAAAGATGAGACCCGACACGGCAATGGGGAGTTTGTTCAGCGCTCCGACCATAGAATATGTGGTTGAGGATGTGGCCCGCACACACCAAGCAGATGTGTATGAAATGAAAATCGACGACATGCCGGTAAAGATCATAGCGCCAATAATTGCGTTTCTCGAATCGATTGGGAAGTTCTTGGACAGGTTGACGGCGGACCAGTCTTCCAGGGTCAAAGAGGCGATCAAGAGGACGGGGATGGTGAGAAGATTGTTGTAGAACATTGCTAGAGGTATGTAATTAGTCTTCCTTCACTCCTGCCAGTTTCGAGGCGGCAACTCACTGTCAAAGTCCTTGAAGTTCGTCAGCTTGATGCGTTTGCGCATCCCCAGCACGTAGGCCGCAGTGGATAGGCAGTTGGCAAACATCCAGATGTACCCGGCGTTCAGTGTCGCCAATTGTGCCGTTGCAGCAGCCGCAGCGGAGCCGTGTGATTCTAACGCATGTTTGATATCGGCCCATGCTGCAATGATGGAGCTGAGGACCATCAACCCAAAGGAAAAGAGAGCCATGGAAGAAACTGAGCCCCCAAACCATAGCACCTCGCCGTAAGCAATCAAGATGATGGTCAAGTTCTTGAAGATGGTGTACACAGGGATTGAGAGATATCGAAGGGCTTTTGTGCTCGTGTAAATCATTCCGATCAAAAGGAGGGAGATGGGAAACCCTAGAAATCTGTTAGATTGAAGAACACTGACAATTCAATCTCGTTTCAGCCCGTACATTTTTTGGCCTCGTCTGCTTTGAAATCTCGATACGTGATGATACCCGCGGTTTTGCAGGATTGGATAGCCAGGACACAGACAATTCCCTAGTGACAATGAAGGTCAGTTGAAGGTGCGGAGTACAGTTATCAGCAGGGTTGACGAACCTGAACAGCCAGCAGGAGGAAATTTAGATTATAGTCAGGAAACGAAAGGATGTATTTGTTGGCCACCGTCATCAAGATAGACGAGGCACAGTAGCTGACGACTGGAAGAATGGGATTGTTCTGCCAGTTGGACGCAGGGGGTGTATATCTCGGGATTGACGGTTGAGGAGCGTGAGAAAAGGTTCTCCCCTGCTTCTCTCCGAGCTCCATCTCGTTGCCCTCGAGAAATCTTTTCTTCTCCTCTTCAGCCATCTCTTTTGTGGTTTCGGCGTCCTGGACCGACGAGGTTCTGAGGTTCTGGGAGAAATGGGACAAACAAATGACGTGGTTTGGCCGAGAGGTCGGGAGGAGTGCAGGGTTGGGCGAGGAAGTCAGAAGAAAGTCAAGGATGGAAACGTTTGATATTAAAGTCCGAGAGACTTGGGAAAGGAAAAGTAGGCGAGGGCGTGTTCCGAGAAAAAGCGCGTTGAAAGGTGGGTGGATGTTGAGAAATTGATTTAGAAGCGCCAGATGAAAAGGGACACTTTGGATGGAAAAAAGGGGACGCAGGTGAACGCGCAACGCAAACTGAAAAGTCGCAAGTGGCTGCATCATGGCTGGCGCTGACGTGCGTCAGTGCCTTTCTACACCTCGGACTGGCTGCTTGGTGGTCCTTTGGTGGCTACAGGCACCCACGGGGGCCCAATTAGGCGTCAAATTGACAGGGCATGGGGGTAAGTGGTGTGCCTAAAGCAGCTTGAACCAGCTGGAACAAGCCTAAACCAGCCTGCGCCTGACTAACAACCCCCCAAATGAGCCCGCAGCCCAGGTCGCCTCCAAGTTGGTCCCACTGGCCTGAGCGTGTGTAACGCAGAAGATACAATTTCCGATATCTTCTTCTGCATCCATGGACCATCCCTGTCCATACAGAATTGACCGGACTGCGGATTCTTTCGTACCCGCTACCTGTCTCGCCTTTCAGCCTCTCAATAATAGCTCCTGCCGATCAGATTTTATCCCCGGTAGACCCAGCCGATCGCGTTGATATCAACTGCAACCAGCCCAAAAGAATTCCTACGAGTTTGATATCTTCCATTGTGGGTCTGTTTCAAGAGCCGGGACTCCCTTGACTCTGCGGATACTTCTGAATAGAGTACTACAAGTCATATCTTAACCATCCCAAGCCAGGCCGCTGACGCCCGTTCTCGCTTGTTTTGGACAAGATACGAGTTTGCATGCTTAGGAGTCGGACAACAGACACCCAGTCTAGCCCGACTCGGCAGAGAGAAACATCCCCCGTCTTCCTACCTCCCAGGCAAGGGACGAATTGGGACAGCCACTTCCCTTGGCCTGGGTAGACTATCACAGATTCTGCCAGGGAGTCCAAGTTCTGAGCAACCCTCAATCAAGAACGCAAGGAGATTGCTTTCTCTCGTCATTGCGATCGGCATTGACAGGTGCGCACCTCGTGCCTGACGGTGGTCCTCTTGTCCAGAAGAATGCCTGAACGAAGATTACTTGAATAGGGGTCATGGAACAACCCGACATTGCCAGTGATTCCTGTACGAGGTGGAAAGACTGATCCTGCGCTTTACCAACAACAGCTGAAAGCAGGATTCAATCTATCGAAATTCTCACCGAGCGAAATCACTGAAGTGGTTGAGGACGAGGCATGTGAAGCCTACTTGTAGTGCTCCTCTTGCATGTACCTGCTGTGGGACTGCTACTGTTTGAACAACATCCAGCCCTATACTAGTAAATGGGGGAAGCTGTTACTTCATCTTACCAAACTCCATCAGACATCGACCGCACTGAGAATGCCAGCTTGCACCGCATTGTCAAAAAGATCTAGCCGACCTCAGCCCAAAACTTCGGTCCGAAATGCCTCCATTGAAACACTCGGGACTTGGACCAGTTGTACAGCGTCTATGCAGATGTTGTTCTTTACCCTAAAAGGCACGAGGTACTTTCGACAAAAACGGTAGAGTATTGAAGTGGATCGAGTCAGATAATTCCAACCACCGTGACAGAAATTAAGCCACGAGTAAGTACGGAGTCGTCTTCATGCAGCGTTGGTGGAGATGATACTTCCCATCCGCTGTAGCCAATGTATATGTAAGTTCCAGGTAAGCGAGGCTGTCGCACAATGAACCGCTAGGGGCAATGCATAAAGTGTTAGTTACGTTCCTTGACTTCGGCCTTCAGGTTTGACCTGGCAAGCCTGAATTGACCATTTTGCATATCACCCCTTTCATGCCCCGAGGATCGATACAAATTTGGCCAGTGTGTTTTCCGTTTTGTCTGTGACCTCCATTTCCTGCAGTTCGGACTCGCAAGTCTGTTTTGGAGAAGATCAAGACACCGTCGACGCTCTGCCCTTCGGGTCGAGTACCCGTCATGCTTGGGCAATGGTATGGAATATGCGATGACCTGATCTCTGATGAGAAGGTGGACTGCTCAGACAATCCATATGTCGCCTCTCTAGAGTCTTTCAGTCCCAATCGTCGTCATCGTCGTCGTCCCTCTGATTGCGACTGCGGATAGCGCCACGGGCTGCTTTCCGACGGTCTGGCGCTTCCTCGTCGTCGTCGCTTCTTTCGTCTTCATGTCCGAGGAGAAGCCTCTTTGATATCACTGTCCACCCGAGAAGTACATCCTCCAATGCTCGAGCAACGTCCATGCTGCTCTCTTTGCCATCCCAGCATAATCCCTCAAAGCCGGTGACTCTCCCTTTGACTGCTCCCTTGACAAAGCCAATCACACAAGGCAACACTCTCACACCCAATTTCTCGACCACAAACGGTGCGTTTTTGACGTCAATTCGGGCAAAGGAAACATCCGCACCCCCGTATTCTGCATGCTTGTCTGCAATGAGTTCACAGTGGCTGTCCATTGTGTTGCACCTCGAAAATTCAGGATGGAAGAAATGGAGCACTGCCCTCTCGTGCTCGGTCGTAAAAGCAAGAGCCTCGTCATCACTCTTCAGTGTGATATAAGCCTTCTTGACGGTGGTAAAAGCTGTAGTCCCGGCAGACGCACCCGCTGCTTTTTTCAATTCTTCTAGTCTTTGAGCACGATAAGCCGCGGAATCTTCCTCTTCCAGCGACGCGAGGATGGCGTCGGCGTCTTCATCCTCTCGGTCGGTATGAATGCTGTTGTCTTGGCCAGTGCCACTATTGGATGCCATTGTAAACTCGAGGAATTCCTGGGATGCGACGAGTTGGAAGACCTTACACCATCGCGTCAACACCAGCAGCCCTGCCTCTCAATTTGTAATGAAAACTGTAATGGATCAAACCAATCTTACACCCTGACGGGGAATAGAATACATCTCTAGTTATTTCGAGGGGAAGCAATTCTGAGAGGACTGCGCTATCCAGTCAGATGATCCGCCGAAACAATATTCTTGGCAATGCCGAAGTCTTGGCACGCGGAAGCCCACAATCAAGTTGCCCGACAATCTGCGACTTGAGATTGACAACTTTTTTGACGACCGTCTACAACACCCAAGTCCCTCCGGCACAACAACAGCAGAGATGGCGCCACCAACCCAGAAGCCTAAAGGTACGGATCATGTCATTTCTTTGAGGATAGAGTGAAGGGCGAAAACGACCGGGATTGGAGATTGGAAAATGCTCAATTCGAGCGGCGGAGAGGAATTCTTCGACCTCGTCTTGTACAGTCAAATTGCTGCGTGGAACAGAGGGCTGACATTTGCACGTTCCAGGTGGCTCCTCGAAGTCAAAGAAGCCGAGTGCCAAAGCGAACCAGGCCGCCAAAGCCACCCTCAAAGGCGTACGTTGAGTCTACTCCTCGCTTCGAGCAAGAAATCTCACAAACTCTTTCAGGTCCATACCAACAAAGCCCGCAAGGTTCGCACATCCACCACTTTCCACAGACCCAAGACGCTCGTTCTCTCCCGGTCCCCCAAATACCCGCGCAAGTCTATTCCCCATGAGACGAGGCTCGACCACCACAAGGTTCTCGTCCACCCGCTCAACACCGAGAGCGCGATGAAGAAGATCGAAGAGCACAACACCTTGGTATTCATCGTGGATACCAAGGCCAATAAGCGCCAGATCAAGGAAGCCCTGAAGAAGCTGTACGACGTCGAGACCGTCAAGATCAACACTCTGATCAGACCAGATGGGACCAAGAAGGCATTTGCGAGATTAACGTCGGATGTGGATGCGCTTGACATTGCCGCTACGAAGTTGTCGATTGTGTAAAGTGGGAGTCTGCACTGGCAGAGGGTTGTGATGGATTGCCTGGAATCAAAAAAAGGGGACAAGTCCATCAGTCTGGAATCTACGGATTGCATCGGTATCAAGGTCATGATTCAGCCAAGGTCCCAGATCGACGCTCGATATTAGAATCTCGAGTTATGATTGACACGCACAATCGGCGTCGCCAAAATAGGAGCAGAAATTTTTTCAATTGCTTTTCCGAGATATGAAGTTTTGTTTTCCCACTTCATAATTGGACCATGTCGTTGTTACAAATGAGCACACAGCCTGCCTTGGGCTGGGCTCAATCCAGATCAGCTGCCCGTCGGAGCAATCCAAACACATTGTAAAGCCATATTTTCCCGACCGAAAACTTCCACATCTCGTACTATTACTCCTCTATTTTGTACAATGTTGCCCCTGGGTACCCAAAAGCCTTCCAACCCAGGTCTGAGTTCTCCACGGCGTCATCGACACAAGAGTGTCGAGACTATTGGTTCGCCCTCAATGTCTCCAGATGTTTCAGAATCACCATGTTTGAGTCGAACAGGCGGTTCACGCAGTTGGTCATGCAAGACTCCTCTTTGCCAGCCAGTTTTCCCGATGATATCGAGCCCGTGATGCATTTCTTGAAGCACAACTCGGTCAATTCGTGGATTTCTATAGCGCAAGCAGAGAACAGCACGTCAGTAGGTTTCATTGTCACGAGGTTCCACGGCGGCGGCGGATGTAGGGAGAGACGTACGCTTTTGAACCTGAGCTTTTTGTGACTCGCTCTGGAGGAAGCCTTGCAGCTCTCGCTTCTCGCGGTCTGTGAGACGCTCGACGTCTTGTGCGTTGATGCTGAGTTCGGTGTCGTCCATGGTGGAGGCGTCTGTGGCAGTCGATTTGCAATAGAATGGAAGTAGTCAAGTTTTGTTTAACTGCGCAATTGTTTCGATATTGATCAACTACACCAAAGGCTGCTTGGGCCGCGCCAGAAGAACACGCAGCAAAGATCCAGTCAGAATCATTTTCTACTCAGCCTTGCCTTGGCGGAAGATACATAAGCAAGGCTCCAGAGTTCGGCAAAGATACCGCTTACGTCATTGAGTTATTCTTTTTCCTGGGGGGCGCAGTCTGGTCCTTCGCAGCCTTGCCTGCCACTCTTTCTCGCTAGATGCTTGTCGATAACTCACTCGCCTCCACCATTTTTCACTTCCGCACGACTTGACTAAAAGACTCATATTACTCTGATTCCTTTGCAAAGACCAAAGTCACACTCACTTACTGCTGATTCAATAATTTTCTTGACTTCTAACGGGGAAAAATGCCTCCGGTCCGCTCTCGCGCCCATAAAAAGCCGCCCCCAGCGGGGTTCGAAGACATCGAAGACACTCTCCTCGAATACTCGAATAAGATGCGTGACGCCCAGAACGCCTCGCACGAGGGGAAGAAGAAGCACGAAGCCCTCTGGCCCATCTTCCAGATCTCGCATGCCCGTAGCCGGTACGTCTACGACCTGTACTACACGCGAGAGGCCATTTCGAAGCAGCTGTACGAGTGGCTGATCAAGAACGGATACGCGGACGCGGCCCTGATTGCGAAGTGGAAGAAGCAGGGATACGAGAAGCTGTGTTGTCTGCGGTGCGTGCAGACCAAGGAGACAAATTTCCAGGGCACCTGCATCTGTCGCGTGCCCAAGGCCACCCTGAAGAGGGACGGCGAGGCAGCCGAGGGCGGCGGCGGTGGGCTCCAGTGTGTCAATTGCGGATGCAGAGGGTGCGCAAGCAGTGATTGAATGGGGTTCTCCACGGAGGCAAGCTCGACAAATGAATGGGTTTGGCTGCGTTCAGAATTCTTGACGAGAAATATTATCACGACTCATCCGATACCGACGCTGCTGAGGTCACCAACACTTGAAGGTTCTCACTTACGAATGGAGGCAAACTTCCATCACCGTGCAGCTGGGAATGGCCGAACAGCAACTACGTCTCAAAACAACTGGTCCCAATAGCCGGCTGAGGCGATGATGATGAAGCACGAATGATTGATGAGCATTCACCCACGAGTATCAACTCTATAAGAGTCCTTCAATGGCATACATAGCCCGTGGGGCAAGCAGATGGACGGCACAGTCATCTACGAATGATAACACAGCCCGGAGACATCTCACGTCTTTTCTCCCTCATTTAAGCGCTGGGAGCTAATCCAACAAAGGTGCGAACTTGTATCGGATGGTCCGGCGTTGCTCGGGGGTTTCTCTGTAGAAATTATGCGAGGATGGTAAACCTCAAGGCATGTCCCCTAGGTTTAGGGAGTCAAAGTCACGTCAAAGTTACTACGTCCACGCACAGTTTGATGAGGAGACTCTTCGTGGTCTTGAGCGAAAGATATATCCGAGAATTAACACTTGTCCACAAATATAAAAGCCCTCGTTAGGTATGAAGGTTTGTACGTGGCCAGCACCATCATCCCTCGGAAAACAAATGAAATCCACCTCAAAAGAATGACCAGTCTCTAGTTTCCATACTTTCCAAATCTGCTCCATGATATGATCTTTCAAAAGACAACTTCCGAGCCAGTAAACCACCAGGTGAACCAACCCAATACTGACAAACCCATGCCGCCCTGACCCGATTCGTCTCATGAAGATCATCAAAACCATGGAGTCTTTGTACATTGATCTAGCCCTTGCTCTGTTTTAGTTTGCCTAGATGTCATATGACGCTGCGCTCGGAATGAGTCATCCTCGAGACGTAAGGTCCAGCTTTAGTACTCTTCTCAAATCGTCCTCAAGTTGTTGCGCACTCGGCTTAGATCGATGAGTTGGCATCTGCGGGTGGGTCGCGGATGGCCCTGTAGTATACTGAGGATACTGAGGCTGTTGACGAGAAGCATGTGTTCGCGAAGCCGTTGGCGGCGTTACTGCGCTATCGGACGACAATTCGGCGTACTCAGGCTCGCTCTGTGCTCCGTAGACATGTCGAAGTCGCGAAGAGTTCGTTCGCTTTGGGGTATACATCTGACCACCTGGAAACGGGTACCCCGCAGGACTAAAGTTCTGGGGAGGATGATATGTAGAATTCTCATGCATGTATACTGGTGTGCCAGGGTTCGAGCTGGAGCGCGCTTGGCCCTGCGGAAGGGAGCTGTACGGGGCTCTGGCATTGAATGGGTTAGTATCAGTGACGGAATCAATGCTGACGCCGTTTTCGCGACCGCTTGATTTCATGAGTAACTGCTTCAGTGCCTCGGATTTCGCTTTGCGTTCGTTTTCATCCATGCTCCTGCCTCCTGCAGACGTCGATTTTGTGGACCGCAGAGCCTCTATGCGATCTTTGTAAGGAGTAGCAAAGGCCGAACCATCCTCTCCAGGATTGCCACCACCTTCCAGCTCAAAGGGGAACATGGGATCTCCCTCTCGGGGTGCGGGAGACTGAGAAGCAGGGCTTCCATTGACAACAGAGAGACTGCCAGAACGTGCAGCAGGGCTCTCACCGCGAGGAGTGGCTCTTGCTTGTCGGGCAGCTTCAAAAAGGAAGTCACATGGAGTTGATTCTCGCTTGCTAGGTGATTCATCACCTGGTGTAACCGAAGACTCGCGAGAGCTAGCGCCTTCTGGTACAGGGACTTGTTGTGGTATGGAGCTCGTGGAGGGTAGAGATTTGGAGTAGAAACTCGGAAGAGGAAGAGCTGAAGGGGCTGGGGATTGTTGGAAAGCAGATCCAGCGTACGCAACTGGTTTCATGGGTGTCGGCGTTGCTTTGGTCTTTTCCTGTTGATAGTTGCCATGTTTCCCTTCCGTCTGTGACGTGTTATTGCCTTGTGGAGGTTTGCGGTGTTGACCTTTGATGCCATTCTTTGTTGTGTTTGTAGTAGTGGGGGAGGGGTTGCGCTGCACACCTGGAACTGGCGCGGCTGGTGCTGCAGCGCTGTCACGGGCGTCCGATGGTCGGGATTTCCTGCCTGAACGGCGAGGAGCTCGAGGAGCTTGAGGCAACGGAGTCGTAGCCACAGCAGACATTGTGTTTGTAAGAGGGTTTCGATGGGCCTGATGAAATCGGCAGCCCAGGACCTGAGTAGATCAAGGAATAATGAAATGCAGAACGCTCAGAGATATACGAATATTGAACTGCGCAAGAGGGACAAAGAGACCGCACGATGTATTGGTGGGCGTCTATCTTGAGCGTTTACGGTGTGGCGAAGCGTAGGGTCTCAGAGTAGGTCGTCGTGGTTGGTGTGAGATGAGGCTGAAGGTTGAAGTGTAAGTGTTCATTGTCTGAACGTCGTGTAGTATCCGGGGCGCGAAGGACCAATTCTATCCCTAAGGCAGAGTATTGGTCTGGAATGTATGGTTGTATTGATAGAAATGAAGATACTGTTGAACCAGATTGGTGAACCGCGCAGATAGGGTAAAGAGACAGAGAACAGCGAATGAGTTTGGGTGACGCAGGAGCCTGCGACAGGACGGAGGAAGGACTGAGAAATAAGAGGGTTGGGAGGGCGGCGCCCAGGGCAGTGCTGCGGCTGGGCGGCGAGGGCGTGCAGGGCGTGACAGAGGGCAGAGGGTCAAAGGGGGACCAGCCGCATTATTGTCGCCACCCCAGGTCCTCAGCCAGTCAGTCAAGCCAGTCAAAGGCCAAGTCAACCAGGCTGCGAGGCGGCGCTGCTGTGACCAATCTTGGTTCGGGAATCATCCTCAGCCATTCCTTCACTTCAGCCTTGTGTCGTGCTCGTCCATCAACTCCGCAGTTTGACCTGAACACCTTTGATTTCTGCTTCATCAGTCAGTTCCTTTGATGTTCCCTTGATCCAGAGTTGTTTCCGTGTGTCCGAACCTGACCCAACCAGTTCGCTCGACGGTCCCGTCCACAACCCCATCGAACCTCTTTCCGTTCTCACCATCCTCCCCGCATCTCCATACCCCCCGACTATAAACAACACGACAACATTCCTAGACATCTAAATGGCGGACGTTGAAATGGCAGACGCTGCTACACCTTCCGACTCTAAGACCAAAGCCACTGCGAAGACCTCAAAATCAGGAGTTACTGAGGGCGGCGAGCCTAAGAAGAGATTTGAAGTCAAGAAGGTGGGATAGATCACACGGAGTTCGATTCACCATGATACTGATATATTCTAGTGGAATGCGGTCGCCCTATGGGCATGGGATATTGTTGTCGACAACTGCGCCATCTGCAGAAACCACATTATGGATCTTTGTGAGCGATAGCTCTGACCTCAGACACGTTGGCCCCCCTTCGCTAATAATACCACAGGCATTGAATGCCAGGCAAACCAGGGCGCAGCTACGACAGAGGAATGTACAGTTGCATGGGGAATTTGCAATGTGAGGATATCAGCCATGACCGTTTGATCAAACCATTGACGGTGTCATTCAGCACGCCTTCCACTTTCACTGCATCTCCCGCTGGCTCAAGACTCGACAAGTGTGTCCGTTGGACAATCGAGACTGGGAATTCCAGAAATACGGCCGCTAAATAATGACTTGACCAAACTATGAAACACATCCTAGATATCCTTAAAAGGGGTCATAGCTTTGAATGGAGAATAACGCTGCGCCCAGCAGTTTTTACAGAGGCACGCACCGCCGCATGGAAGAGTGGAGGCCAAGCAAGCGACTGAGGCCTCGCGTGTGGTACTTTGGAGCGGCTGAATGATTGATGCTGGGAGAAAGCTTTGATGATTTTGATGGCTAAATGCGAGCATGGCAACCATGACCATCGGAGAATTGAGTCTGGCATTAGGCAAGAGAATGAGGCCAATAATAACATGAGAACGTTATGACCTGCCAAACTTGTTCGTGGAATATTCACGGACATTCTCATCTTGCTTCTGTTCCCACCACTATGCCTCCTGG